GACAAAATTTGCCACCTCTACCCCCACCCCTTTATAAAAAGGTAGTGACCTTAACATGGTGAAAAATGTTTTTCCTAACCAAAATTATTTCTCATCTACCATGTCTACTCCTTTGAACATGCCATAATCATACTCGTACATGTACCCATTGATATTTTTTAGATTTTGCATACAGTTTGTTTTTCTGCCACAGATTCAAAGAGAATTCAGATAGGAAATGGAACTATTGAACAATAACTTCTGCCTGGAAGCAGGAATTGCGGAATACAGTGCAAGGGATCCCCGATACTCTTTTTCAAAAGTTATTGGTAAGGTGACTAAGTCCTTGATAAATATCATTAAAAAATACATGTATAGCCTTTGTTAACAGTAGACAACTTTAGCATATTTCAAAATAGTATTTCTCTTTGTGGGGTCAATCTGGGATCAGCTGGCATGAGGGACTGTTCTCCCTTTAAGCCAATAAAAAAATTATAATGTGTTTGTTTCTGGTAACATGCCAAAAATATTAGGGAAGGTAGGTAGGCGATAACTTTTTTTTATTACTTTACTTTTTATTAGCTCACCTGAGCCAAAGGCTGAAGTGAGCTTTTCTGATCACATTTTGTCTGGTGTCCATATCTCTTTAAACTTTTCACATTTTTGACTTCTTCTCAAGAACTGCTTGACCTTTTTCGACAAACTTAACAACAATCCTGAGGTAAAGGGGGTTCAAGTTTGTTCAAATAAAAGCCACACTTCCTTCCAACTGGAGATAATTACAAATTAATTTAGTGAAAAATTAATATCATCTTTTAAAAATCTTCTTCTCAAAAATCTGTTGGCCAGGAAAGATGAAACTTTTGTGGAAAAATCCTCAGGTAGTGTAGATTCAAGTTTGTTTTAATCATGACCCCCAGGGGTAGGGTGGGGCTATAATGGATTATCAAAGTTTTACATAGGAATACATAGAGAAAATTTAAAAAATCTTTTTAAAAACAGCAAAGCCATGATTAGTCATATTTATATGGAAGCATTCTCTTAAAGTATAGATTCAAGTTTGTTTAAATCAGGACTCATGGGGGTAGGGAGGGGCCCAATAGATGATAAAACTTATGACAAAATAATCTTTAAAAATCTTCTTAAGCCATGATGAGTCAAATAAATATGGAAGCAAACTCATTTAGTGTAGATTCAAGTATGTTCAAATCACGCCCCCCATAGGTTGTGACCACTCATATATTTAAAACTTTTCAATACTGAACTGATTTCCAATTTTTCCTAGCCAAAGTGCTCGGGTGAGCGATGTGGGCCATGGGCCTCTTGTTTAAAGAATAATTTGCACATTTTATTTTTGGAGCTATACAAAGAATCTTGATTTATAGAAGTATACAGGTTTAAAAAAAAAGAAAACAGTGTTGTAAAGAAAGAAAAGGATTTTACATTCAAAGAATTATGGATGGCACAGAGGTAAAAAGGACATTCAGTGTTCAAAAGAATTTGAAATTGATTTATTTATCACAGTGGCAGATTTAGCCAGGAAGGGGGGGGGGGGGTGGGGGGGGCATTAAGAAAATCTAAAGAGTAATTGCACATTTTTACATTAATCAGAATTTTTGAAAATTATGTACATCCTAGAATTGATATATTCTGCAGTACAATTTAAAAAAAAAAACATGCTGCAGAATATATAAATTTTAGGATGTGGATAATATAGTAGGTGCTATATTTATATTTACATTCTTAATATATTGAAAACAGACATCTACTTTATAATTATTATTAAATACTGTACATTTAAGCTCACTGAGCCCAAGGTTAAAGTGAACATTTCTGATTAAAGAGTGTCTTGCATCTGTCTATCATTCATAAATGTTGAGTCATCTGTAAACTTTTCACATTTTCAACTTTTTTTTCCAGAATTCAACCAAATTTGTCACTAGACAATATTTGGTGGAAAGGATTTAATATTTTTTCAAATGAAGAGCCAAGGGGAGGTCATAAAGAGAAAATTAATGTTTGACGGTGTCATTTGAAAATCTTCTTAAGAACCACTAGGCAGAAAAATTAAAACTTATGTGAAAACTTCCTGGCATAGCGTAGTTTCATTTTCAGTCAAATAAGACCCCTTTGAGCACTCTACCATCGGCTCATACATTCACCTCTGTCATCTGCTCGCATATATCACAGTGATAAACATGAAAAATAGTGTGTTTGTTTAAATTCATTTTAATTAAATGCCTGCACTAATTTTGTTCCTAAAGGTAGCTACTTTCCAAGTAGATCTAGAACTATTAATTTAATTTAAAATAATTCTGGGAATGTTATGTTTTTTACATTATAATGTCAAAATCTTGATGCGAGCCCATTGCAGAGGTGTCTGAGAGAGGAACGAATGACAACTCTGCATAGGAGATTGCCCTTTGAGAGGATGGAGCCACAGTATGGGATTAAAAATTTGCATGGGAATATACTAAAACTAGAAATTTGACCATAGGACATGAATGCCCCTACTAGGGCTTATCATGCATCATGAAAATTTGCATTTTGGCATTTGTGTATGAAGTTTGATGATAATATCTTGAAAAAAAAGGTCATTGGAAAGGTCCAGGTAAAAAGGTTGAACAAAGTTGATAAATTCTTAACAAATTTTGCATCAGTGCATAAGCTTACATAAAAGCATATGGAATTGTTTTGTTGAAACTGTGTTACATGCATATAGTTATTTAAGAAAAAAGTGATATCAAGGTCCAAGGAAAAGTCCTGGTCAAAATTTTATGTTGCAGTTCAATAACACTCTTCAAAATGTATCAGCATATGAAGTTTGAATAAAAAATCACAATTTTTTCTTTAAAATTGAGCTTAGCAATTAACACAAAATTGAGAGAAATTGAGAGAAGTCAAGATCAACAAAATTTATGCAACTGAATAGCTCTTATCAATATGTATAAGCATATGAAGATTGATCCAAATCTCTTGAATAGAGCTACTTACTAATCTAAGAAAAATGAGGTCAAGGTCAGGGGAAAGGTCAAATCAAAAATATGTTGATGAAGTTGAATGGGTCCCATCAATATGTATCAGCATATAAGATTTGATAAAAATATCTTAAATAGCTCTTGAAACTGAGCTAAACACTCTAATTTAAGAAAAGTAAGGTCAGGTTCAAAGGAAAGGTCAAGGTAAAAAAATGTTGAGTAGCTCTCATCAATATGTATCAGCATATAAAAGTTCAAAGTGTGATGGAAGGACACAAGAACATGTTATGGGGTTCAAGTAAATTTTTAATTACAAACCTTTAGGCTAAGGTGAGGCCACAATATTAGGTAATTTTTCATTGGAATAAAGGACTTTTTTTTTTAAATTCTTCAGCCAGGAACAAGGTGACTAAGGTGAGCATTATTAGGTGTCTAAGGTGAGCATTATGGCCCATGGGCTTCTTGTTATGTGTCCTTTTCATTGATCAACAATCAGGTGATGTAATAGTATTGTTATATTTCAGAAATGCCTATGGATGACGTCATAACCAATTTTGAAAAATGTTTTGTTTGAAAGAAAAGGATCTGAAGAAGGAGACAGATCTATTTAAATTCGGATGGATTTATAGACTGCCAGACTTATTGCTATCACCTAATTCTGTACTACTAGATCTTTTACACTGAGCCTATAAGTTTTAGACTAGATGATTTATCTAATTTGAGAATCCATGACATCAATCTTTAAGCATTTCAAGATTACCAATACAGAATATGTACAGATGCAATAGCAGATGAAATCCCACATGTACATACACAAACAGGACACTGATATGTTACTGAAATTTAGAGATATTTCATTTCTCTCTTGTGTGGATTGAAATTGATCTAAGAAAAAAAAAAGGTTTATGTCAGACTGAAACAATATAATAAACAATTTTCTTTAGTTTTGTTATGTGCTTATATTTTTAGGAAATATGTACCAATGTATCAGACAGTATATAGGGAACTTGTACTGAGTCGCTAGTGAGCTAGCTTTTCTAGTGATGCGGTAAAATCTCCCTCTATATTAGACAAGTTAAGCAATGTCGAGCCTGTTTAACCCTTGAATGGATGACTGCTTCACATTACATTTACATGTAATTTTTTTTTTTTTTGAATACTAAATTTGAGTGTGAATTTCTTCTCATGGTCAAGCATGAGGTACTGCATAATTGTCATTTTTACATTAAAATGTGTGCATGTATTTATGGATTATCAGACACATATACACTATACAAAAAAAAATGCATAATTTTCCAAATTTTTACCTTTTTTCAGTTTTGACCCCATATTATAGCCATCATTTGGTTCCTGTACAGTGCGAACAAATCTGTATAATACATCAGTGTTGTTTATGCCCCCCTAATCAAAGATGATTCAGGGGTTTATAGTTTTTGCCCTGTCTATCTGTATGTATGTCCCCAAAACTTAACTTTTCCCATAACTTTTGTTTTGTTGGAGCTATGCATTTCATTTTTCACATGTGTATTCTTTGTGACAAAACCTTTCTTTGGGTACCAACATATTTGACCTTTGAGTTTGACCCATTTTTGTAAAATTTTACCAAACTTTTACCTTGGCAATAATTTCTGAACAGTTGGGGCTAGGGCTTCATATTTCTTATGACAAGACCTTCCCATGACCACCATTAATTTTGACCTTGAACTTGTTGTTCGACTTTTGAAAAACTTTAATCTTCACCATAACTTTTCAAAGGTAAGTGCTAGCGCTTTCGTATTTTACTGGCACATTTCTTGAGACAAGACCTGTCTTTGGATAATAACATTTGTGATCTCTTGACCTTGACCTTGGAGTTTGACATGAATTTGAAAAACTTCGACCTTCACCATAAGCTGCCATATACATACATAAAAATGCCATTATCGCATGTACATACATGTATGGCAGAGCTCAAAGAAGTCAATCCAGCTTTTCCAACATGCATTCCTTTATATGTTTGACATTCAGATCCAAGAAAATACCATAAAAAATCATCACAAATCATCCATTTTCATATAATTTTAATACATTCTTTGGTACTTTGGTAAATATAAATACAAATTTCATAAATGCAATCAATATAAATGCAGAAATTCAAGTTTGTTCACTCATGCAGATCCCACTTTATCAGCAGTAACTTGAGACACAGATGTGACACTTTAAATGGAGTATTTCATATACATGTACAAATTTATCAAAAATGCATCACTTCAAATTAGTGTCAAATGATGTCAAAAGGACAAAGAAGAAGGTACGGTTTTAGCTTTATTGTGCCCTAAAAATTTAATACTTTCAAAAAGTTTTGAAACTGGCTTAAACATTTGTTGAGTATATGAGAGTGATAAAACAGGAAAGAATATAGCATGAAAGAGTACCATTCTGGAAATATGACGTCATTAATTTGATGCATTTCTCTATTTTAAACAGAAAAAGCCTCAAAATGACCCATTTCAAGGGTTATTTTCCTTAAGAAAATAGTGTCCACAGCCGTCGCCCACGTTTATTTTCGGATATGTTGTGTAAAATTCTTTGAAAAATCACATATCTCAAAATCTTTGTGGGCGATGCCTGTGGACAATATCATCTGAGAGAAAATTCCATTGAAAATTGGTGTCTTCTGCAACTTTTCAAGAAAATACGGGAAAATGCACTAGTTTATGACGTCACAATTAGCATTTAGAAGGTCATGTGAGAAAAATGATTTGTATGATCTTTCTGCGTGTAATTTCAATGATTCAGAAATCATGAGTTTTAATTTTTTACAATACTTTCATTTTTAAGAAAAACACAGGGCAAAATTTGTATTGAAACCGTACCTTGTTCTTTCATGTGCAAAATGTTCAGGAACAACACATATTCTTCCATCAAAAATTCTCTGAAATTTGCCAAGACTTCTTTCTTCAAAGTTATTCACATTGAATTTTTGTCCAGATCTGCACAATCTTCTATCACAAATTCCCTGAAATAAAAAGTTTGAAACACAGAGTTTTTATAATTACCATGCATAATCAAGGGAAACCTGAGATGGAGAATTTTTTTCCTGCCAATTTTTTTCATGATAACTAGTATGAAAAGGAAGCATCCTATTAGTGAAACCAATGGTCTTCATGCCAAAATGAATTGATTTATTGTTTACTTAAATTTTATTACTTTTTAGTTTTCTCCTCATTGAAGATAAATTTCTCCTTCATTTGTGCCAGGTTTAGTTAAAACTGGTCCAGTAGTTCTGTTGAGAAAGTCTGATACATGTATTAAGGTATTCAGTGTATACTGAATGGATTTTGAACTGTTTTGAATCATTTTAAACTAGTTAAAAATGTATTGCTAGATAATGATGAAAGGGAAATGAACCAAATTCACATGACTGATAACATGAAAGAAGCTGGTCATTTTGCACTTTAACATTTTTTGAAGAGTTATCTGCCCTTGATGAAAACCCAAAAATTTAATTTTATCAAAATATCTGTGGCAAATGATTCATTTTATTTCATATTTTAATAAAGAGAGAGTTTATGCATATTTTCACCAAGAGCTCTACATGAAATTCAAATTACTTCTTACAATATCTTAATAAAACCTGCACTCCCCATAGACTTCATTGTAAAATTCAAGGTGCAATTTATTTGACAATTCCTTTGGTGGAGTATTTTTATTTAATAATACCAGGGGTTTTGAAAAGACACCAATTGATGCAAAATTCTTGTATAATGTTCAAAGAAAAATATACGAAAATTACTAAACATATATTCTAGATGTTTATCCAAACTTGTTTAAGAAGAAGTGTACAACAGAATATATAGACATTAAAATGTAGCACACAGTTCCTTTAAGTATTGGAACTCTACAACTCCAAGGAAAACGACAATAAAGTTCAAACTACGTTGCGTATGTCCTTAAGGGATCAGAAAAGCTCTCTTGAACCATTGGATCAGATGAACTTCCAGGTCAAAAAAGAAAAAGAGACCCAAGTTCAAGAAAATCAAGCCAGGCTGATGGATTTGAGAAATAATGCATCTATGATCTACATTTTATTTCATTTGTCACAAGTCCTTTTTTTTTGTGGTCAACGGAGTTTGGCTTTAAATTTTTTGTTCTATCTTTTATTCATGTACACAATATGATGAATAATATAAGGTAAACTGCCAAAAGACATTCTGTTATATGAGTGATGAATACAAAACCAATAACACTATTAATAATTATGCCCTGAACATTTTACATTAAATAGTACATAATTATATTAATGCTATGCTATGCATACAGTAAGCATAAATCTACAGGAGACCCACAAGGAATTTACAAAAATATTAAATGCCTAAGAAAATAAGCAAAAATAAAAAGGTTTTTGGCCCCCTAGGAAAAACAGACCCTTGTAAAATGGTTAGGAGTGTCATGCATCTGAAGTGACTTGTCCTGGCTACACCCCCCCCCCCCTCCTTGCAATGCCAAGGGGCCCTGATTCAATACATTGCATGGGACCCCTGGTCAATTTCATTCATTAATATCATGGGCTGACTGTAGCATTATCTTTAGGGGAATTTTCAAATCCATTGTTTTTCTCATCTCTCAACCAATCACATTAAGCCATATTCTATGATAAACAACTTGTAACAGGTGATTCTTCCTGTTTACATTATCATATCTAAATATTTCTGAAAGCTTCAATTTGATTGGTGCTTCTCAATAAGAGAAGCAAGACTTAAAATATCACATGAAATTAGCCAGGACCCCGGACCCCTGGCATTGCAAGGATGTCCCCCATGATACTTTTAAAACATGTCTATCCAAGTGTTTTAATGAGTACAATTGTTTTGTTGTGTACATTTCATTCATAAGTGTATTTAACTATTTATATATGACTATGACCCCCCCCAAAAAAAAAAAAAAACAGCGGCATACTGAATATTTGACTGATGCTTACAAAATAAGAGCCCTAAGGGCCATATATCTCACCCGAGCACTGTGGCTAGGAGAAAAAAAGCAGAAATCAGTTCAGTTTTGAAAAGTTTAAATACATATTGGTGGTCCCAACCTACCCCTAAAGTGGTGGGGCATGATTTGAAGAAACTGGAATTTACACTTACTGAGGAAACTTCCATATTTATTTGACTAATTGTGGCTTTCAAAGATTTTTTAAAGATTATTTTCCTATAAGTTTTAACTTTCATTGTGGCCCCAACCTTCCCCGAGGGATCTTGATTTAAACAAACTTGAATCTACACTATCTGAAGAAACTTCCATATAAATATGACTAATCATGGCTTTGCTGTTCTTCAGAAGATTTTTTTAAATTTTCCCTATATATTCCTATGTAAAACTTTGATAATCCATTATAGCCCCACCCTACCCCTGATTTAAATAAACTTGAATCTACACTACCTGAGGATTTTTCCACAAAAGTTTCATCTTTCCTGGCCAACAGATTTTTGAGAAGAAGATTTTTAAAAGATGATATTAATTTTTCACTAAATTAATTTGTAATTATCTCCAGTTGGAAGGAAGTGTGGCTTTTATTTGAACAAACTTGAACCCCCTTTACCCATGGATACTTTGTTGTTAAGTTTGGTTGAAATACATGTAGGTCAAGTGGTTCTTGAGAAGAAGTAAAAAATGTGAAAAGTTTACAGACAGACGGACACTAGACAAAATGTGATGAGAAAAGCTCACTTCAGCCTTTGGCTCAGGTGAGCTAATAAAAAGCAAAGTTAAAAAAAAAAAAGTTATCGCCTACCTACCTTCCCTAATATTTTTGGCATGTTACCAAAAACAAACACATTATAATTTTTTAATTGGCTTAAAGGGAGAACAGTCCCTCATTCCAGCTGAACCCAGATTGACCCCACAAAGAGAAATACTATTTTGAAAAATGCTAAAGTTGTCTATTGTTAACAAAGGCTATATTTTTTAATGATATTTATCAAGGACTTAGTCACCTTACCAATAACTTTTGAAATAGAGCAGCGGGTATCCCTTGCACTGTTTGCCCCAATTCTTGCTTCCAGGCAGAATTTATTGTTCAATAGTTCCATTTCCTATCTGAATTCTCTTTGAATCTGTGGCAGAAAGACAAACTGTATGCAAAATCTAAAAAATATCAATGGGTACATGTACAAGTATGATTATGGCATGTACAAAGGAGTAGACATGGTAGATGAGAAATAATTTTGGTTAGGAAAAACATTTTTCACCATGTTAAGGTCACCACCTTTTCATAAAGGGGTGGGGGTAGAATTGGCAAATTTTGTCAAGTAAGTAAGATTATTTATTTATTTTTATAGCCTTCACAGGACAGAATATTTATTTCCAGTTGATCTAAGAATGATTATTTACTTTCTTTTCTTGTCCAAAATCAGAAAACCACTTAACCACATGCAAGAAGGGTGTGTGTGTGTGGTGTGTGTGTGTGTGTGGGGGGGGGGGATGAGATCACAGTGATAGTCATGGTCTGACAGGGTCATTGTTTTCCTTTATTTCTAGCAATGCCAGTGGATGAAGTTAATTTACTTAAAAATCAAGGTTAAAATATTTATTTCCATAATCTATCAGTCCCCCCCAATCAAATGATCGTCCCTAAATGATTTTAATCAGACAGGTGGTTTTAATAAAGTACTAGTATGTGCTTAATCTCACATTTATGCGCATGGTCTATTTCTGACAGCTGTCTGAGGCAATTCGAACTACCTGTTTGTTCGGTAGCTCTAGCTTAATTACAATAAACTGACAGCTGATTCAAGAGACATTATCTGAATGATGCCAGTTATTTACATGTACATTAATGATTAGTCTTTACTTACCGCTTATAGCCTAGTTAACGTTGGACTTTCTGTCTTCCACTTCGTTTACATGATCGAACAGCGCACATGGCCTTTTCACGTGACGATCTCCCTCGCATCGACGCTTGTTTTCCGTCACGCTTCAAATAATATTTCTCCACGCTTCAAATAATATTTCTCCACGCTCAAGATAATATTTCCTTCACGCTTCAAATAATGTGTGCAGTCACAATTATAATCGCGTCTCAACATAATTATTGTTTCAACAGGAGGACAGAGTTTTCGTTCCTGTCACTAGAAAAGAAGTTATCTTTCCTGTTGAAAAATAAAAATAATTGCGAACAAGGGCGCACATCATTATTATTGTTGCAAAGATTATAACGTCGACTTGGTACATTATAGTTTTTAAGCGTGTACATTTTTATTTATTTTCAGTCAGTACATTATTGTTACAGGAGGTGAAGTCTTATAAATTGTTGCAGCAAGAATAATTATAATCTTATTATAAAATAAAAATAAAAAATAAAAATTATGTGTACGAATCGACTGACAAGATTATAATTTGGAGGTGTATAAAAATAATGTCTCCGTACTAACTGAAAAGATTATAATTGTAAAGTGAGAATAATTATTATAATGTAGGGGCAAAATAAAAATAATGAGTACACATGGACGGACAAGATTATAATTGTTGTAGGAAAATAATAATGTTGTAAAAAAAAAAAAAAAAAAAAAAAAAAAAAAGATTTTTATTTTGGGATGAGATAATTATTTTTGGTATAATTATATAGGAAAAAATAATAATAATGTGGGGGTACCCTACGGCTTTCCATACATTTCGGATCTCCATTTCAAATTGTTCACGTCCATTCAGGAACAAAACAAAATGTTGAAGGTAAGAAATAATTACCAATAATAAACCGGTTTCTCTCTTGCTTTTGCGATCAGGTACTTGAGTACTCGTTGATTATTAAAAGCTAATCAGTATTTCACGATCCTATAGTGTTCTTAATGGTTTTACATGATTTCAGAATCTACGTATGTCATAGAGTCTGTAAAAAGAAGACAAATGAGACATATTTTTAATAAATAGAAATACACATAATTATTTTTAAAAAAGATCAATTTTGATGTAATTTTGAATGCATTCACGGATTCGGTCAGTATTGTATTCCGGGGGTGGGGTAGGGTTGGGTGGGATATGATTGTGTCGACATACTCTTCAAAAAACTCATACTCATACTCTTCTTAGTAATTTTTTCTTTAGCAATTCTCAGGTCCAATAATAATCCTATGTGAAACTTTCTCTTTATCTATTTATCATCTAACAATGATACAATACCATGAATTGTGCTATTATAATTAACAATAGGAAAACGGAATTTCCATATATCTTACTAGTATTTAGTGGAGAGATTTAAAAAAATCTATTTAAAAAAAAAGAATTAAACATAAGTAAGAACTGATAATATGACATATATTGTAAGACAGATAATTCAATGATTAAACATTGCTTGAAGTGACCAGACATGCCTATGTAGAGCAAGAGTAGAGTCCTGCATCAAAAGGGTTTTGAACATTGTCCCGCTGCTCTAACGCCATATCTAAAAATTTCAATTTGGAGGAATCTTAGACGATATACAAACTCCTCGTGAATGTGACAAAATAGATCTGATATACTATGTGCAAGAAAATTGCTAAGCTAGAACTCCCAGTTAAATGAACTTCATCAATCACTGACGACAATATTCAATAACTGGCCTTGAAGATTAATTTAAGCTGTCCTACAATATGTTCATTTCGTCAAAATTATTAGATTTTTTCTCATAGATGTAGTTAGCAATTAGATGATAGAGTTGAGGATTAAAATTCAATAAATATTCGTCCTTTTAAATTGATGTACGTATTTATAAAACATATTCATAGTCTGCTGTGTTTGAAACTGAGTGCTCCGGCCGCGGATGTACATTTAACGGATGTGAATCGAGCCGAAGAAGTTCATGTGATGGGAAAATGCTTTCGTCCTTGCGTCAGATTGAAACCAGCGTCAAACAACTGACAGGAAAAGATAGGAACAAAGGTAAAGAAATGTTTTTCATGATTTGTTCTATTGGAAAAAAAAACATTTAGTCCTTTCTTTGAAATGTACAAAGGTGATCCAAATTAAACTGCCCGGTAAACTGACCATTTTTAAAATCAATTTAATTTATTTGCAATCAATTCTGAATGCCTTTAAACATATAGGAACCTTCTCCACAATATGTATGTTGTTACACACTTTGCATATATGTATTGAATTGCTACGAAGACTTCCATGTACGTACTAATTTTACAGGAATTTGTAAGAACGGATGGAAGCGATTCAAAGGGCACTGCTACAGAGAGTTTCTTCATAAACTAGACTGGTTTGGAGCTCAAGTAAGATAGATTTACTTTTGTTACAGATAATTTTGTCCAAAATAGATGATAATCTTATAAATATTTGTGTTTTTTTTAGATGTTCTGTAGATTGCAAAAGGCTAACCTGGCAGGGATAGAGAATAAAGAAGAAAATGAGTGGCTACAAAATACTTTCTCAAAAGGTTCATTAAACATCATATTTTTAAAGATATGAATATGATGACTTAAAATTAAGCAAACATAATTTCTCTAAAAGAACAGTCAAATATAAAATATTATATAGAAAATTCAAAGGTTTATGAATTGTTTGTTTTTTAAAGTCATATATGGCGTATTTTTTATAAGTTCAGACTAACTAAAATTAAAAAGATCTTTCTGTTTGTTTTATTACTTCATATAAAGATAGACAAATGTAAATTAAAATGTAAATTACACAATTTAAATCAAGCGTTTCAAAGATATTAGAAATTTAAAACAATAATCGATTTATTTACCGACTCCGCATATAATTAACAGACACAGATTAAAATCAATTTAACTATGGAAACATGACGTTATTTAAATTCAAAATTAGTGAAAATTTTAATTTTAACGTAAATAATATATATAATGTTTATCTACACTCAATCTCGTATTTTTATTTTTAGCTCAGATACGCTATATATAGCTTTTAATGAAATAATAAATCCTTCTGATATTCCAACGGTACTAGGATACTTATTTTAAACAGCCCGGGTGGTTATAAGTAAAGAATATGAGTAACAAACATTTAGGATTCTTACCGCAGCTGTAGAGCAACAAAATGACATACTTTTTTCGCCCAGATAAATTAACTTTTCTGTGTATTCCATGAACCCCACAGTGACTGTTTTTTTTTCTGCAGAAAAGTTATGGTTGGATTTAAACGACCTGTCTGTAGAAGGAAGATGGCGCTGGTTTTCAACAGGAAAGCCAGTTACCTACACAAACTGGATGCCAAGACAACCTGACAGTTCTCATGAGGATTGCGGACAGATGAATTATCCAGGTTACAAAAAAGGTCAATGGAATGATAAAGAGTGTGATGCTAAGCTTCGCTTTATTTGTGAATCGTCTGGTACGTTGATTCTCTGACAACAAATAATTTAACATTTGTGAATTGACGTCATTTAAAAAAAAAGGGGGGGGGGTGTTACATGTATTATGTAAATTTGAAAATTTACAAAGTCAGCTGTACACAACAAAATGTTAAAATTTATTTTACAGACAACCCTTGGAATGAATAGAGAAAGAGGAAGAAAGTGCATATAAATTCTATCAATAATAATCTTTATTGATGCTGCTTTTGTGAAAACTATAGTTAACTTGAAGCTACAGCACAGAATGGAAAACACAAAATGTTCATACTATATTTGTCAAACATCCTTTTTTTATATATGATTATCCAATTTAAATAAAATGCTCAAGCATGTGATACGTCGTGCTAAATATATTATTTTTATTTATTTATTGCTTAAGACATACATCTTATCGCATTTCAACAGTAACATATAATACAAAATATTAGGCATTGTATGGCGGTTATATAGATTACACATATATTACAATATAATACCATAATTTAATAATTTTCATGGAGATTTACTATATGAGAGAAAATTTCCCTCAGTTTAAAAGCATGATGAATATATTTTCCTAAATTACAGAGATTATGGACGGTGTGATAATTGTACAAATTTTAAATCAGACGGCTTCTGCCAGTAATACTACCTGATATATCTTTTACATAGCTTTTCAAAGTGCGTGCTAAATTAAAACAAAATTATATTCATCCTCTACTTCAATTTTACACATTCTACTCTCCCTAGGTTTTTTTTATTATGTTGTCCTGTTTCAATTCCAGATTATGAGATGAAAGCCTGGTTCGACTAGTTTGCATTTTGTACATAAAAGGTATAGGCCTACAAAGATAATATTGTAAAGAAAAATGGTCTATTATTTGTTTGTAAATATTATATTTTGATGAATAATTAATTTTTTCCATAAGATTATGAACACAAATGTCAATCAATCTTTGTTTTATAATTAAAAAAAATCTACAACTAGTTCTATCTTGTTCACACCACATATATCATACAATTTTTCATTAATACAAAATACATTAATACAAAAGGCCCAATTTTCTTGCTTTTTTCATTCTGTCACAGTTATCATATACTTCATCATGACAGTTCATTATACAATTTTCACTGAATAAAACCTTGAACCAAAATTTGAACATTCTATACAATCGAGTTTTCATAGAAAGCCTTCCAGTTTCTACATACACTGAAGCAGAGTTTGTGTTTTTCATTACGCATAAAACAGAATTTATAAACTCCAACTGTACTTTTTCTACGTCACTAGCATTATGACTACCCCTAACGTTACAACCATAGTTTAAAATACTTGTTACATAGGTGTCAAAAGTGACAAAAGGGTTTCTGTATTTAGACACTTTTTACTTTTGATTTTAATGCAAACATGGCTTTCTTTCCTTGCGATGCTATAATTGCTTTTGTGTACAATTGTTATTACCATTAAAATTCAGTAACACACCCAGGTAAACAAACTTAACAACAACCTCAAATGAGTGCCCATTAATATTCTATTTTTCTGTAGGCTTGATTTTACCCCCGTTTCTAGAAATAACACGTTTTGAATTATCTATATTAATAGAAAGATCTGAACGAGTTGTGTATTTGTATCATTGGAAGCTCATCTACAGTCTCAGCAAAAATGACCATATCATCAGCATACATTAATAGAAATAGATTAAGTTCTCGCAAGTGTACAGGGACAATATCAATCTTCAAAAATTCTACTTCAAAATCATTAATGTAATTATAATGAGAAAAGTATGGGGGATAACACTTCTCCTTGTTACAGTCCTACGTTGCTTCTAAAAAATTCTGACAACCTCCCTGGAGATTTAACCCTATATTTCATTCTTTCGTACATGGCACGAATAATACTCAATAATGTACCTTTTATACCATATACAATCTGAGTTCTTTCCACAATTTAAATCGATCAACGGTGTTAAAAGCTTTCTTAAAATCTACAAAACAACAATATAATCTTTTTTATTAAATAAGGTTAAACTAATAATTGACGACAGGCAAAAAATAGCCTCCGGTGTACCCTTTCCGGGCTGACATCCAAATTGCGCATCAGTAATTATGTAATCTTAAGTTTGTAAGACCATAATTTGGTTTAAAATAGATGTAAATAACTTACAAAAGCAACTCACTAAACTAATATCTCTATAGTTATTGGGAGCTGACAGATCTCCTTTCTCATGCACTGGAACAATAATAGACATAATACTAATAGACATAATAAAGTTCAATAGTTCATTAAAACAATACAAATTTGGAGCAGAGCAAACATGAACCTCTAAAGAAATATCACAGATGTGAACAGGTGCCATGAAGGAGTAAGCATCCCCTGTCAACGGGTCACATTCTCCATGACATAATATGACAAAAGGAAAAAGTCGTTCCCAATTTAATGTGAAAAAAAGGCTTAACAATTGTATGAAAAACTTCAGTTAACATTCGATTAAATAATAGATTGTATTTGCTGAAAAGGTCGTAAAACTTGATGACTTCAAACGAGACTGTTGATATCCTTGTTCCATCAACTATTTGTCAATATATCTTGTCACTTTTTAGAAAATGTTCATACGTATGGCATGCTCTTGTGTATTAACTGGGAGACATAAACTCTATATCAGGTGATAATGGTATGTTGCTAAATAAAGTAAGGGAAGTTGACGATTGAAAAGTTGAAGTCATCACGTTTATCATAAAGTTTTATTAGGATACCATTAAAGTCTTTTTCTAGTAAAATATCCAAATATAAAATATTTGTGTCAGACACTGTGCTAAACAAATGTAATAAATTCAAATACAAATCTCATTTGCTGTTGTGGATACTAGGTTTTTCTTAAGTCTTAGGAAACAATTTTTTTTCTTTTCTCGTTTCCTAGCAGAATAATTAATTTGCTCACGTAAGACAAGCTTTTCGAGAAGGTTAAACCATGAAATAATTATGCTCCGAATCGGACAAATTACCTGATGAAAACGTATTTTGTATAGTAATCCTCAACGATGAGAAGGTCGAAGACAAGATGAGCCCTTATAATTCAAGTAACAATAAGACTCCTTTAACTATTTTAGAGAATCACTGCAGCCAACGATAACAAATTAATGTGCATGCATATGGAAAATTCCAATAAAAGATTGAAGCTTGCGTATGGGATAAGCCGAATTTATTTAAAGAAAGTGTCGCATGATTTAAGAATTAGCACACAGTACAAAAACCATAAATCACATATTTATATAAATGTGTTTTATATATATATATATATATATATATATATATATATATATATATATATATATATATATATATATATATATATATATATATATATATATATATATCAAAAAAAATCACAACACCGAAATAAACTCTACCGGTTTCATTTTCAATCTTCAGGAGTTTGACAAAATATTGCTTAGTTACACATAAATACAAAATCAATATTCTTACTGTGACGTCAAAAAGCGCTAATGTGAATTTACGCATTCTCACAGAATTACAAAATCTACTCCTTCAAAGACATTATCCTAAACAACTGATTCAAAACGGAATTAACAAAGCCAAATCTCATGAAAGAAAGGATCTTCTTACAGTGAAAAATAAACCCGTTGATAATGTTATACCATACGTTTCAACGCACAATCCCAGAAATCCGGAAATTTTCAACATAATAAGAAATAACCTGCCTATCTTAGAAGATGACCCAGACATGAAGAAAATATTAGATACTTCACAGATTATCAAAAGCAAGCGACAAAGCCCTTCTCTTAAATCCATCCTTACCAGAGCATCTTTTTCCAGTAACAACCATGAACCAGCCATCATCAATAAATGCAACAATTCCAGATGCAGTACATGTCCATACCTGACAGAAGGATCTACATTTCATTTCAAAACCGGAAGTAAATTTAATATTAAAACCAACATGTCGTGCACTAGTTCCAATCTTATTTATGTGATTACCTGCGCCGGTTGCGGTGAAAATTATATCGGTCAGACAGGAGACACCTTAAGACACAGAATGACCGTACACCGACAGCAAATTAGGGAACCAAAATACCGATGTACCCCCGTCAGTGACCATATTAGAAACTGTGCAAAGAATAAAAGTCCCAACTTTACCGTTTTTCCCTTTTACAAGTTTCGAAGGGATACCACAGAAAAAGAACGTGAAACCAAAGAAAAACTTTTTATTAACAGATATAAACCTGTTTTAAATGCTACATAATTATATTTTGTATCAGATATATACTTTTTTCCCGCAATTTATATCTGTATTATTTGTATGGAAAATTTAATTTCCCGTATTAAATTTCTTACGTTATGTCATGACGTCATAATTAACTTTACTAATGCGTAAATTCACATTAGCGCTTTTTGACGTCACAGTAAGAATATTGATTTTGTATTTATGTGTAACTAAGCAATATTTTGTCAAACTCCTGAAGATTGAAAATGAAACCGGTAGAGTTTATTTCGGTGTTGTGATTTTTTTTGATATACGACTACGTGTGTGGATTTATTTTATATATTTCTGGATTATATATATATATATATATATATATATATATATATATATATATATATATATATATATATATATATATATATATATATATATATATATATATATATATATCCGTGGTTTTGTAAGGTCCCGCTCCCATACAAGAAATACTTTAAGATGACGAATGATCACTAACACAATAACTTATTAACTACCTGGATGTAAAACATCATGTTTTAAAGACGGCGCTTCACATAAAGGTCAATTGTTCAAATACCTAGAAAACATATATGATAAAGCATAGCAAACAAGATGACCTTGGTTTCCCATCGCCTACTTTCCTTATTTATGTAGTAAATATTTAAGGAATGAATTAAATAGCTACCCAAGTTACACTATATTACCTGGCTTGGGGCAGTTTACGCTTTTGAAACCGCGAAGCTGTTTATAAAAAGCGTAAAATGTTCCAACCAATGTTATACCAGTATAACTTAGGTAGCTAATAAATTTATTCTTTATTATACATGTACATGAATTGTTCATCATTAAGCATAGTGAAATATATGGAGATAACGGACAGTGTTCAAGCTCGAAAGTATATACAAACAATACAAATCAGGAGCAGAGCAAACAAGATTCTCTAAACATCAGAGATGGGATCAGGTGCCATGTAGGAGAGAGCATCCCCTGCCTACCAGTCACACCCGTCGTGTGCTCCATGATCGGGAAATAACAGGCAAATCCGTGGACAATTCAGTTTGTAAATAATGGCCTAACAATTAGTATAAAAACGTCAGTCAGCATTTTACTTAATGATAGATTGCATTTGCTGACAAGGTCATTGTATCGACCATAAAACTTACGAAATGATGACTTTAAACGAGTCTGTTGATATCCTTGTTTCATCTACTTGTTTGTCAATAAATTACCTCGTTTTAGAAATTGTTCGTACGTAGAGCATTTTCTTGTGTATCAAATCAACTGAGAGACATAAACCCCATATGCAGGTGATAAGGGTATATTGCTACATAAGCAAGGGAAGTTGAAGATTGAAAAGTTGAAGTCATCACGTTTATCATAAAGCTTTATTGTTAGTTTACTATTAAGTCTTTTTCTATTAAAATATCCAAGTACATTTGTATAAAAGAGACGTACGTGTCAGACTCTGTGGTATCTTTGATTTTAAGCTCACTGGGATATATCGTTTCGGCATATGAATAGAAATAACTATTGTTAAATAATAATACGTCGTCGATATATCTAAATGTCGAGTTCAAGGCCTCAGCATGTTTTTTATCTTATCAAAAAGTTTAGATTGTTTGTTTGCCACCTTTACCTTTCTCTAATAAAATATCCAAGTAGGAAGCAGATGTGTCGGACTCTGTGGTGTCTTTTCTTTTAAGTTCAGTAAGCCATATCAACTCAACTTATAAAAGAAAATAAGTATTATTCATTAATAAAACGTCCATTATATATTAAAGGTCGAATTCAATGCCAAAGCAACAATTTTCTTTTGCTAATTAGAAGTCTTTGAATAAATTTTGCTTTGTAAGAACACAAAATCATAAGGTTTTCTAATAAAGGGCAGAGCTAGTACCCATGGAAATTCCAACAGATTTTTATTTAAGAAGAAATTGTCTATTCCATGATGTAAAAAAGTTTGATCTTTAATTTATCATGAGGAATGGCTGTATAAAATACTGAATAGTCATGTGTTGGTGTTATTGATTTTAGCAAAATTTTGTTATTTCAATTCTTCTTAAATTTTTTTTAGAATTTCTTTGCATCCACATTTCATTAACACCACTTCTGGGCATTACTCTTTCAAAGTATCAACAAAGTTTCTTCTTAACTGCTTTTATATTTTCGTGAGGCGTAAAAAAAAACCTACTTGTTCATGTTTTCCTTTACCCTACAACTATAGTCCTGCTGGACACGTCACTACTGGTGACGAAATACAGTTAATATTGAGGACCATAAATAGCTTATTTTAAAAGGGCCAAAATTTAGGGAAGTCAAGTCTTTCTGTTGGAATTCCCAAGGGTACAAATTGCACCCCGTTATTAGCAGACCTATTTTTGTATTCATATGAAGCAGAATTTAAAAAAAACTTCTACATGAGAAGAAGAAAACACTTGCTGTGGCCTTCATCTCGACATTTTGATATATTGACGATGTATTATCGATTAACAATATTTACTTTCATTCGTATGTTGACTCGATATATCCCAGTGAGCTTGAGATAAAAGATACCACAGTCTTACACAAGTGTTTCATATTTGGATATTTTACTAGAAAAAGACCTTAATGGTAACCTAACAACAAAGCTTTATGATAAACGTGATGACTTCAACTTTTCAATCTTCAACTTCCCTTACTTATGTAGCAATATACCCTTATCACTTGCATATGGGGTTTATGTCTCTCAGTTGATTTGATACACAAGAGCATGCGCTATGTATGAACAATTTCTAAAACGAGGCAAGCTATTGACAAACAAGTTGATGAAACAAGGATATCAATAGTCTTGTTTGAAGTAATCATTTCATAAGTTTTATGGTTGATACAATAACCTTGTCAGCACATACAATTTATCATTGAGTCAAATGCTGACTGACGTTTTTCATACTAATTGTTAGGCCATTATTTACACACTAAACTGTCTACGAATTTTTCCGTTTTTTTTTTTATCATGACCAGGAGCACATGGTGGGTGTGACCAGTTGGCAAAGGATGCTCACTTCTCCATGGCACCTGATCACCTCTACATTTTGAGGTCCATGTTCGCTCTGCCCCAAAATTGTGTTGTTTCATTGGACTTTCGAGATTGAATACTGTTCATTGTCTTCATATTTCAAAATTTCAAAAATATAATGAATTCTGTGAAGTAATCGAGAGTTGATATTAAAAAGAAGCTCAAGTTTGCAATTGACAATATCTATGTAGTTTTTGGAGACCATGTCTTAAACAATCTGTCTGAATACCCATGATTTCTAATTGTCCCCATTAGCAGACCTATTTTTGTATTCATACGAAGCAGAATTTTTTTTCAAAAACTTCTACATAAAAAGAGGAAGTCTGTGGCCTTCAATTCAACATTTAGATACATCAATTTATCAATTAACTATATTCATTTTCATTCCTACATTGATTTAAAATATCCCTTTGAACTCGAAATAAAAGACACATCTGTTTCATATTTGAATAATTTAGTCCGCAAACCTCTGATTCATCAGAAATAGTTGCTTTTTTTCAGTATTATACTGAAAATATAAAGCAGGATGTTTTGCTGCCAATTTACTTAACAATATAAAAATTGAATATTTTTCCAAATAAATATTTATTTACATATAATCATATTATTCTATGTATAAGAACAATAAGAACACCTTACACTTGCAATATTTACATATAGACTACAGGAAAAAGCAACATTCTTAGTTACAGCACCATGTAATGTAAAGACTCTTTATCGAAGATGAATTCAAGTATGAACAGTAAGAGAATCATGTCCGCTGTAATGAATTAGATACTGTTTTCTATTTTTAAGGAATCTCATTCATTCCAGTCATAATTCAAATTTGCCAGAAACATCAATAGCTAGGCAACCCATTACTGTCTTCCAAAACCCCATTCAATTAAAAACTTTACAATTATGTGTTTTCCCCCTCCTAACCCCCACTAGTTATTCTGTGACCCGGTCTGAGATAAATGACGTATAACATCCACCCAGTCCCAGCCCCGCGGCCTCTCTCCGGACGCGTCCAGTCGATCAAACATTTTACGCTTCTGATTCTTGGTCAGTTGTTCTTTTTTCTCCTTTTTCTTGGCCACCTCCATAACAGAAATCTTGCCGTCACTGACCTAAAGACAAAGTTTGTGCATATACATGTACATCTGTGGGCTGTTTTACAAAAGAACTTACGCCTAAGACAAAACACTTTAGTTGATTGTCAAATCTACAAAACTTATGTTTCCATTAAAACAATGTTTGCATAAAAATATCTTTCTAAATTCTTTTCAAAAAGATTAAAACCATTTTCAAAGTCATGTAAAAAAGGAAAGTTATTTGCATAATAATATTTTGATCTTAATTGTAAGTTCTTTTGTAAAATGGAATCCTGCAATTTAAGTCTTACATAAATTAGTTTTGAGAGGTTTTATTTAATAAACTAAATAAATTGCATTCTTTGAACATGGATGTATAAATATTATGCTAGATATGTAATATGCTAAAAATGTTCTTAGGATTTTATGAAAAACATAATTACATGTTAGCAATGTATTACAAATTCAATAGTTTAACTTTTTTTTTGCCTTTCTGCTATATTTTATAAACATATTAAATCTATGCAATTATTTATTTACTTTTTGCTTGCTTTCTAACTGATTTGATTCATATTCTTAAAAAAAAATCCCTTTCAAATAAAAGGAAATAAATCTAAAGACCACAAGTTTGTAACAGTAATCCATTGAACAACAAACCTGATTGATTGGTTGTGTTTCTGGTTGCTCAGCAACAAGGTCATCATAATTCTCCTTGACCCACTCAAACAATGTGTAGGTCATGGCACAGTCCAGTAAGTCAGGGATCTAAGTAAAAAAGATAACTGAACATTAGAAACCTCCTTTATTGACTATTTAAAAATCACAGTACTGAAGAATGTTTAATATTAATCCAAGCAATGAATACTTTTCCCTTTCACAATTTTATCTATATGTACATAGAGAATAATACATATACTAGTACCCTTTTACATATCACATCCTGAAGCAGCCCAAGACACCAATATCAGCCAGAGAGCCAAAGGCCAGAGGGTTGATATTGGTGGAGAGCTGATACAGGGTGTGATATAGAATGGGTTATTATGTTTATTTATACATGCTTAGTTATAAAATACAACACATATCTACATGAGCAAATAGAAATAAAAAATCACTAACTGGCTTATTATATTGAAGAACAGTAATCTAAAATTAAGAAAATGCCGACAAAAAAAGAAGCGTATTATCACTAGTTCTGTTTTTCAAAGGAGGTGATATAAATCCATATTAGCCCTGCAGGATCGGCATCAGTCCTGGAAGCTGATATACTTATTGTAACATCAGGCATATCCATTATGCAGAAAAACCTGTATTTACTACTAAGTATGTAATAAATATACATGTATACAAAAAGATGTTCAAATTAATAGAAGTCATTTGCAGGAAATATAGACAAACTACCTGTTCCTGAAGTCCTTCCATGATCTTGGCCTTTACAGTCTCATATCTAAAGACAGAAATCACAGTGATATTAGTCCACAACGTAATAATACATATCTAAGACAGAAATCACAGTGATATTAGTCCCCAATGTAATAATACATATCCAAAGACAGAAATCACAGTGATATTAGTCCCCAATGTAATAATACATATCTAAAGACAGAAATCACAGTGATATTAGTCCCCAATGTAATAATACATATCCAAAGACAGAAATCACAGTGATATTAGTCCCCAATGTAATAATACATATCTAAAGACAGAAATCACAGTGATATTAGTCCCCAATGTAATAATACATATCTAAGACAGAAATCACAGTGATATTAGTCCCCAATGTAATAATACATATCTAAAGACAGAAATCACAGTGATATTAGTCCCCAATGTAATAATACATATCTAAAGACAGAAATCACAGTGATATTAGTCACCAACGTAATAATACTTATCTAAAGACAGAAATCACAGTGATATTAGTCACCAACGTAATAATACATATCTAAAGACAGAAATCACAGTGATATTAGTCACCAATGTAATAATACATATCTAAAGACAGAAATCACAGTGATATTAGTCACCAACGTAATAATACATATCTAAAGACAGAAATCACAGTGATATTAGTCCCCAATGTAATAATACATATCTAAAGACAGAAATCACAGTGATATTAGTCACCAACGTAATAATACATATCTAAAGACAGAAATCACAGTGATATAAGTCCCCAACGTAATAATACATATCTAAAGACAGAAATCACAGTGATATTAGTCCCCAATGTAATAATACATATCTAAAGACAGAAATCACAGTGATATTAGTCCCCAATGTAATAATACATATCTAAAGACAGAAATCACAGTGATATTAGTCCCCAACGTAATAATACATATCTAAAGACAGAAATCACAGTGATATTAGTCCCCAATGTAATAATACATATCTAAAGACAGAAATCACAGTGATATTAGTCCCCAATGTAATAATACATATCTAAAGACAGAAATCACAGTGATATTAGTCCACAGTGTAATAATACATATCTAAAGACAGAAAGCACAGTGATATTAGTCCACAATGTAATAATACATATCTAAAGACAGAAAGCACAGTGATATTAGTCCCCAATGTAATAATACATATCTAAAGACAGAAATCACAGTGATATTAGTCCCCATTGTAATAATACATATCTAAAGACAGAAATCACAGTGATATTAGTCCCCAACGTAATAATACATATCTAAAGACAGAAATCACAGTGATATTAGTCCCCAATGTAATAATACATATCTAAAGACAGAAATCACAGTGATATTAGTCCACAATGTAATAATACATATCTAAAGACAGAAATCACAGTGATATTAGTCCACAACGTAATAATACATATCTAAGACAGAAATCACAGTGATATTAGTCCCCAATGTAATAATACATATCTAAAGACAGAAATCACAGTGATATTAGTCCCCAATGTAATAATACATATCTAAAGACAGAAATCACAGTGATATTAGTCCCCAATGTAATAATACATATCTAAAGACAGAAATCACAGTGATATTAGTCCCCAATGTAATAATACATATCTAAAGACAGAAATCACAGTGATATTAGTCCCCAATGTAATAATACATATCTAAAGACAGAAATCACAGTGATATTAGTCCCCAATGTAATAATACATATCTAAAGACAGAAATCACAGTGATATTAGTCCCCAATGTAATAATACATATCTAAAGACAGAAATCACAGTGATATTAGTCACCAACGTTATAATACATATCTAAAGACAGAAATCACAGTGATATTAGTCACCAATGTAATAATACATATCTAAAGACAGAAATCACAGTGATATTAGTCACCAACGTAATAATACATATCTAAGACAGAAATCACAGTGATATTAGTCCCCAATGTAATAATACATATCTAAAGACAGAAATCACAGTGATATTAGTCCCCATTGTAATAATACATATCTAAAGACAGAAATCACAGTGATATTAGTCCCCAATGTAATAATACATATCTAAAGACAGAAATCACAGTGATATTAGTCCACAGTGTAATAATACATATCTAAAGACAGAAAGCACAGTGATATTAGTCCACAATGTAATAATACATATCTAAAGACAGAAAGCACAGTGATATTAGTCCCCAATGTAATAATACATATCTAAAGACAGAAATCACAGTGATATTAGTCCCCATTGTAATAATACATATCTAAAGACAGAAATCACAGTGATATTAGTCCCCAACGTAATAATACATATCTAAAGACAGAAATCACAGTGATATTAGTCCCCAACGTAATAATACATATCTAAAGACAGAAATCACAGTGATATTAGTCCCCAATGTAATAATACATATCTAAAGACAGAAATCACAGTGATATTAGTCCACAACGTAATAATACATATCTAAGACAGAAATCACAGTGATATTAGTCCCCAATGTAATAATACATATCTAAAGACAGAAATCACAGTGATATTAGTCCCCAATGTAATAATACATATCTAAAGACAGAAATCACAGTGATATTAGTCCCCAATGTAATAATACATATCTAAAGACAGAAATCACAGTGATATTAGTCCCCAATGTAATAATACATATCTAAAGACAGAAATCACAGTGATATTAGTCCCCAATGTAATAATACATATCTAAAGACAGAAATCACAGTGATATTAGTCCCCAATGTAATAATACATATCTAAGACAGAAATCACAGTGATATTAGTCCCCAATGTAATAATACATATCTAAAGACAGAAATCACAGTGATATTAGTCACCAGTGTAATAATACATATCTAAAGACAGAAATCACAGTGATATTAGTCACCAACGTAATAATACATATCTAAAGACAGAAATCACAGTGATATTAGTCACCAACGTAATAATACATATCTAAAGACAGAAATCACAGTGATATTAGTCACCAATGTAATAATACATATCTAAAGACAGAAATCACAGTGATATTAGTCACCAACGTAATAATACATATCTAAAGACAGAAATCACAGTGATATTAGTCCCCAATGTAATAATACATATCTAAAGACGGAAATCACAGTGATATTAGTCCCCAACGTAATAATACATATCTAAAGACAGAAATCACAGTGATATAAGTCCCCAACGTAATAATACATATCTAAAGACAGAAATCACAGTGATATTAGTCCCCAACGTAATAATACATATCTAAAGACAGAAATCACAGTGATATTAGTCCCCAATGTAATAATACATATCTAAAGACAGAAATCACGTGATATTAGTCCCCAATGTTATAATACATATCTAAAGACAGAAATCACAGTGATATTAGTCCACAATGTAATAATACATAGGTGTATGTTGTCATGCTGTTTTCATGTATTTGTTTAAAGCTCTTTATTTTTGTTTCTAACATATGTTTTACACATACCTATATGTTTTACGATTTTGTGGCTACTTCTTGTACCATGAGTAAAATATGCTCTGTGTAATTTTCGATATAAACATATAATTTAACAAACATTTTGAAGGGAATGAAAACATGGAATTTCAAACAAAAGGTGTCAAAATCTGCAGAAAAAATTGAGATGAAAAAATGTGGACAGCAAAGTATATTTCTCTGAGATTATGAAAAGAAAATTTCGATATTTTTTCTTTTACAAAGTGAAAAGAAAATTGTGACCCAAAAATACCAATGTGGACTAGTAAAACTTGTGTGAAGTTGGGGGCCCCTAAAGTTTTAAGTGTTATCTGCAAGCCTGTTGAGCTTGATTACTGTACTTATCTTTATATTTCATACATGCCTTATAAATGTGTTTGCTATACACTTTACTTACATGTGTTTGATATACACTCTACTTACATGTGTTTGATATACACTCTACTTACATGTGTTCGTTATTCACTCATTAACATGTTTTTGATCACTCTACTTAAATATGTTTGATATACACTTTATTGATATACACTTTACTTACATGTGTTTGATATACACTCTACTTACATGTGTTTGTTGTAGAAAGTGTCCAGGTTGACCTTGGGTTCTTTTTCTGGGTATTCCTCACTCCAGACAATCTCCACGTTGAAGGCACGGTATGATCCATCCTCCCCATACTAACAGAGAAAAATCAAAGTACTAAAAATACTGACACATCAAAATCCATCCTCCCCATACTGACAGAGAAAAATCAAAGTTCAAAAAGTACTGAAACATCAAAATGTATGTGTGGGAAGATCCATCCTCCCCATGCTGACAGAGAATAATCAAGGTACCATAGTATTGAAATATCAAAATATGTGTGGTACAACAATCTTCTTTATACTGACAGAAAATAATCAAAGTACTAAAGTACTGAAACATCAAAAGATCTATCCTCCCCATTATGACAGAGAATAATTAAAGTACTAAAAATACTGAAACATCAAAATATGTGTGGTAAGATCCATCCTCCCCATACTGACAGAGAACTTGAATTCATACAGAATACGATAGTACTTCGAATAATGAAATCAATTTTGCACATTTTAATATCTTAAAATCACTCTTAAAATTAAAGTATCTTTCACAAAATATGTGTGCTTTTGAAGTTCACTATGCATGTGTTTTGAGGTCATAAATGAAATTGGACAAAATAAGTTAACTATTATTTTTCATCACTCACATTTTAATCTAAATTAATCCCCCCTCTCTCTCTTACATTTAAAAAAAAATTTCATTAACTAATAAAACTTAATTTATCATCTACAGAAACCAACCTTGTATTGAAAAGTAGTAGGATTGACTATTTTGAAATTTTCATCACCCTCATAAATAGAACGGAGAACCTCCAATTCCTCCTATAAATAAAACATGTTAAATTTTAAATCTATCAGATAAGCTTTGTCAATTAATTTACACAATTTTTACAAATTTACTGGAAAACTAATATTTCTTCATAAATAATTTGGTACATTTAGACATGTTAGATATGGACTTGAACCATCACATTTATTTCTTAAATAATTTCCATAGACAATAATGTTGTACTTTGCTTTGTAAAGTAAAAATTACAATTGAAAAGCAGCTTTAAGATTTTTTTTTTAAATACAAGGTTTGTTTAGATATACTAGTACTAAAAGAATGCATCTATATAAAGTTTTCCAATGTTCCATCCAAGTAACTCACTGAGTAAGATCATGAAATTTATAGGTTTGCTGCACTACACAAAATCCTTTGTAAATAGAAATAATTTTATTAGCAACTTAATAGATTTATTTATTAATAACTTAAATTGTTTTGTTTTCCATTGCCTCACTAAAGGCTGAGGGATATAAAACACACAAATTCTTGGTTGGAAATCATGTCCAATTATTCTGCGTTTTCATTTCATTAATAAATAAGACTTGGATACATGAGAAAATGTACCTCTTGTTGTTCTTTACATGTCATCTTGATGGAGGATTACATCGTATTTCTGTCTCACCTATAAAGAAAAAAAATATATAAAAGACCATAAATCAACTTTATGATAAATAGTTATTCTTTAATAATATTCTTCCTACGAGTCGCTATCTGACATCAAATACTAATAATCTAAAATTTTCAAAGTTATGAGCAGGTTGGGGGGAAACGTAAATTCCACTATAATAGTGGTATACCACTATTATAGTGAGATTCCGCTATATTTTCAGCCGTAGTTGTCCTCGATTTCATCAAATAACATACTTGCTGTTTAAAGCGCAAGTTATGATGGGAATAAAAATGAACAATAATTGGCATCCTTACATATTATGAATTTTATTTAATTTTCTGCCGATGCGTTTAATAATGCGAACACACTTTTTAAAGCGGAAGTTACATTTTTAACATAGCAACCAGTGATTGCGGTAGTATTGAACAAAGACCGACTCTTAATATCTCTCACACATGTGCACAAATTTAGTGCTTGTAATAACTTTCAACTCATTTTGGAATAGGTTTGTCGAATTTATAGAAGAAAAGGTGATTTTTGCCTGCATGGTAACAGGTACGGAGGCCCGTTATGACAAATGAAAAAAAAGCTCAGCACATGTACAATTTAATGGAACCGATTTGTGTCGTCTAAATTGTAAGCAATATATATAATATGTCACTTTTCGAAGTAATCTTAAGTTTGTGTATAATGTTTCCCTTCTTGATTTTGAATCCATGAATTTAAATGATTATTCTTAGCAAGAAAAGAAGAATTACACTTGTGCATGGAATTACCTGTAGACGTGACGTAAAATAAATTCTGCACGATTTATTGATTCTCTAACTTGCATGAAATTTTATATTTAACTACGATATGCACTGGAAAAGAAACAATGAAATCCTATTTACCAGAAGTAGATTATTCTGTTGTAAATAAACGAAATACAAGGAGAAACAGAAATATGAAGATAACGAAAAAAGGCCATTTGAGCAATAATTTTTTGCAGAGCGAATAGGTAGGATAAGGTGCTATGGAGGAGTACGCATCCCCTGTCGAGCATGGACTTTGCAAAATTCATTTATTAATAGTTATCATGAATTATTGCATCGTTGTCTCGCCACAGCCGCTAAAATATAAGCCCGCTTTTTTAACTACAAAGAAGCCATTATATACACATTGAATTGTTTTCGCGTATGGTTATTTTTTGTTTTTTTTTTTCCTATCACAAAGAACACACTTGTCGGCAGGGGATGCTCACTCCTCCATGACACCTGATCCCATCTTTGATGTTTTTTAGAGGTTCGTGTTTGCTCTGTTTAAAATTTGCATTGTTTCAATGGACTTTTGAGATCGATTACTGTTTGTTATCTTCATATTTCATTCAGTATTTCAAGCAAATTGAAAAAAAAATTGAACCCATTTAATTTATTTTCTGTCTTAAAGTGCAAAAATTTGAGTGAATTACATTATATTTTTCTTACATCTATTTATTTATTTTCTGTCAGAAAATGTACAAAATTAAGTGAAATCAATCATTGCATTTTCATCGATATATTTATTGTATTTTTCTGTCTTAAAGTGTATTAAATTCTACAAAACACAGGTATATCTAAGTTGGGATGTAATTAACATAATTGTTATAAACACAAATGAAGGTTCAACTCATTTTGTTATTTGCAAGCGGGAATAGGTGGATTTGTGATTTAAAAAAGGGGGGGGGGATAGGTGGAAGACCCTCTTAAAACCGAGACCCCTTGTTGTTCGTAATGTGTATCGAATCAATTAATAATTTAAGACATTAATCCCACATGTAGGTAATATGGTATATTGCTACATAATAAGGGAAGTTGACGACAGAAAAAGTAGTTATCACATGTACCATGTAAGTTTAGTTATTAGTTTGCCATCAATCTCTTTCTCTAGTAAAATATTTAAAGGAAAGAAGCAGATGTGTCATACTCCCTGGTGTCTTTTATTAATAATTTTCAACATACTTCAATTTTTGGAAACTGCAGCTATATCATAACTAAATGAACATTTAATTAATTTATGTCTTGCCATTACGTGGTTTAATCATAATACATGTATTAAGCGCCAATGTTTCTTCTGAGAAATTAGGTGATCCAAATATTCCCAACAAAAATTGCTTATACAGTCATATAATTTTTGAAATAGTTTTTAAAAAGATTTTTCTTTTTTTTTAATCCACCTTTACTTGTCATAATACAAAAATTAATATTTCAAAAAAATTTGTTTAACATTCCGGAAACTAATGTCATATAATGTATATGTAACAAGCATTCTGAGAGTATTGCATTAGCAATACTAGTCCCCTACCGGCAAGTGTAATCTGGATCCCGTTAAGAATTGAAAATGCCATAATTCCGTTAAAAATCAATGAAGCGGGACGAAATGCAAACTTGATCTATAACTAATAAAGGTAAAGTCACATACCAAAAATCAGCTCAATATCTGAAAGCGTTAAGAAGAAAATTGCGGAAAACCCCTAAAAATTGAAAAGGCCGTAATTCCGTCAAAAATCAATGAAGCGGAACGAAATGCAAACTTGATCTGTAACTCATCAAGCTACACTCACATACCAAAAATCAGCTCAATATCTGCAAGCGTTTAGGAAAAAAGTGCGGAAAACCAAGTGGGACAGACTGACAGACAGACAGAGGGACAGACAGACAGACGGACAGACAGACAGACGGACGGACAGACGGACGGACAGACTCAGAGGAAACCTATAGTCCCCTCCGGTTTCACCGGTAGGGGACTAATTACCTGCAGAAATGACATCTTATATCATGGTTTACAATTTATTGCAAAAACTATACAAATCGGTTTCATCAGAATAAAGTAAACATGTAATGAGCTTTTTTTCGTTTGTCATAACGGGCCTCCGTACATGTCACCATGCAGGCAAAAATCATCTTTTCGTCTGTAAAATTGACAAACCTATTCCAAAATATGTTGAAAATTATTACAAGCACTAATTTGTGCACATGTGAGAGAGATATTAAGAGTCAGTCTTTGTTCAATACTACCGCAATCACTGGTTGCTATGTTAAAAATGTAACTTCCGCTTTAAATAGTGTGTTCGCATTATCAAACGCATCGGCAGAAAATTAAATAAAATTCATAATATGTAAGGATGCCAATTATTGTTCATTTTTACTCCCATCAAAACTTGCGCTTTAAACAGCAAGTATGTTATTTGATGAAATCGAGGACAACTACGGCTGAAAATATAGTGGAATCTCACTATAATAGTGGTATACCACTATTATAGCGGAATTTACATTTCCCCCCAACCTGATGAGGGAGTTGACAAGTTTAAGAAAACATAGATCACATTACAAAACATTGTTTATCAAGTTTATATTGGCAGGAAATCAGTTCAAACTTTCACCAGGTCTGGCATTGTCGGATACCTACGGGGTGATCTTGTCTTTTGCTCATGACCAGTGGGCAAACTTGCAGAAATATTAATGTAATTCATATGCGTGGGTAATTTGATTAATTAGCTGCTCCACAAAGTCGCTATGGAAAATCAACAAATTTAAGTTTACGCTACGTATGTATGTTCCACAATGACAAATTAAAACTTTTCTGTAGTTAACAAAGGAGATTGCAAATAAATCCACTCACTGGTGCATTTTGCAGTTTGAGAAAGGTACTCTCATATTATTTCTTACTGATATTTGATGTAAGTGACTTGTACAATTTTTCTTTAATAACTGTTTTAAAACAAAATTTGCTAACTAATAAAGGTATTATTTTTCAAATTGAAGAGTTCCAGTTTTCTGATTGGTATCTATAATAAAAAAATTTATAAAGCTTATTTTAGGAGGATATATCTGCGAGTTTGCCCAAAGGTGATGAGTAAAAGACGAGAAAACCCGTGGGTATACGACAATACAGGTCTGGTACAATCTTTTGATTAATATATATAATAATTATTAATATGGATTGTTGGTCCAGAGGTTACTGTGGAAAAAACTCATTTGGATCAATGTGCACTGTCTCTTTGCCCTGGCATTGTAGTAAGAGCTCAGAGTGCCAACGGCACTTCAGACCAATCACTGTACTTGTAATCATAGTTATCATGTATGCTGTAGTATGTGGTGATGACTAATAAAGAAACACCATGGAATAATCCAAACTTTAATTGGCTTAAATAATTAATTACTCATTATCAATACACAGTTAAGTACTTACAAATACATTTGTGCTTGTTAGCAGTCTGCAAGGAAGAGAGCATGTAACTGCACAAAGCACAACAATGTGCTTGAAACAGATCATCGTGTTCTGACAGTGACAGTGTAATTCAAACCCAGCATCTTTAGGACGTTCTCTTACATTCATTCAAGTTTATTTTTACTTTTCAGGTTATTGTTTTCATATCTTTACAAATATATCACAGATTTCACAATTTTCTTAAATATTAGCCAGGGCTGTGAACTTGTGAAGCAAGCTCTTTAGGCTAACGTGTACAAACAGAGGAAATTGGGAATGAAATCCATATACAGTCAAACCTCCTTATCTCGAACTTGATGGGACTGAGATAAAACTTTGAGATATCCGAAGGTTCGAGATATCAAGGGTAAAATACTTAAGAAATACGTGGTTAGGACTTCCCAATCACTTTGACATATCCACTTTGACTTTAACTTTTCAATCGTCAACTTCCCTTAATCCCTTTCTTATGCAGCAATATACCTTCATCACCTGCATACGGGGTATATATCTCTCAGTTGATTCGATACGCAAGAGCATGCTCTACGTATGTACAATTTCTAAAACGAAGTAAATTATTGACAAATAGGTTGATGAAACAAGAATATCAGCTGTCTCGTTAAAAGTCATCATTTCGTAAGTTCTATGGTTGATACAATGACATTGTCAGCAAATACAATTTATCATTGAGTCAAATGCTGGCTGACGTTTTTCATACTAATTGTTAGGCCATTATTTACACACTGAATTGTAGATGGATTATTCCGTTATTTCCCGATCATGACAAGGAGCACACGGCGGGTGTGACCGGTCGGCAGGGGATGCTCACTCCTCCATGGCACCTGATCCCACCTCTGATGTTTGGAGATCCGTGTTTGCTCTGCTCCTATTTTGTATTGTATAATGGACTTTTGAGCTTGAATACTGTTCATTATCTCCATATATTTCATCCATGATATTCGAGATATCTGTGTTCGAGATACCGAAGTTCAACTGTATTTGTCAAACTTTTTTTTTTTTGTATTTGTGTGGGTTTTTCCCAGAATTCTTTTGCCCCCATGATTCGTGTGATTACAGTGAATATAAGAGGCTGCAGTTATCACGAAGATCCAGTTCTGAGCAGAGAGCTAAAAAAAAGCGAAATAATTTTAACCACTATACTTTTCCCTTCATTTAAAAAATGCATTAGGCCTACATAGATTCTGGTATAAAATGCAACTTCATACGACGTCATGTGACATCACAGTCTAGACTGTGTCTTGTGCGGGATTCTTCAATTCTTGATGAAGTTTGTGAAATTTTTAATTTATCACCTAAAATTGCTTAGGAGGCAATGCCTAGTGCTGGCTGACTTAAATAAATATGCACACATTAAATTTCAGTTTCCCACAGACTTATTTTGTTTAGTACCTGCCATCTGAACTGGCAGTACAAAGTTACAAACCTAAAATGTTTTCTTCCATTTATTCCATGCCACATGGGCGCAGACATTTTGGAAAAGCAAAGTAGGTCTTACCAAGTTAGCAACTCTGAGAGATATTATGGTGTGTATTGTAAAATCTGTTTTCTTAGTTAGATAAATATAAAAAACATGATAATTACTCATTCAGTAATATTTTTCTTGTAAGGAACGTTGAGTGGGAAAGCGAATATTCCTTGTACGAGTGATTAATAAATTCAACTTCCGATTTGTTGATCGATGCACTGCTGACTGCAGCTTCTCCACAAAACTATTTAACTAAATCTAGAAGCCATGAAGTTGACGCTGGACTGCTGACATCAGGTTAAATATTTTTTCGAAAGTCTTCTTTTCTTGACGTATATACCATTTTAACCTTCATGCTGAATAGATAGACAAATAGGGGGAGGGGCCTAAAATTTACTGTTCAAGATGATTTCTTTGCTTAAAAGGGAAAGGAAATCATTTTTTTTCTTACCTGTGGTGATTTTTAAGATTTGTATTGAATTTTTTCTGGCATCTGCCTACATAGACCATGAACTGACATACACAAGTGTACACCACTGCTTGAGAGGTACAGTGATGTCTTGTTTGATGTAGGGTAGAGTGGGGTAATTTCGACCACTTTTGCTGATTTGTGGCTTTCAATCCACAAAACACGACTGTTTTCAAATGTACTAGTTAAAAAAAATTCAAAGTAATTGAGATTGATTTTTTTCTTCAGATTTTTCTGCTTTAGGAGTTAAAAATGCATAAAAAATAATGAATTGGTTTAAAAATAAGTAAGCATGTCGCATGGGTTAATTTCGACCGGCCTCGGGGTAATTTCGACCACAACAAACATTAAAAAGAAAGATAACTCTTGCAATGCAAGTAAACTTTACCTGTCGCATTTTATTCAAAATTTATGGTCCGAGAAACTACATGTATATTGCTTATTTAGAAAATACGTGTATCTATTCTATCTCTCTCAATAAACAGAGTAAAATGGATAAGTACTAATATCCATACAGTAAAGGTATGGGTTGGGTTACATAAGCTTTTCAATGCTGTCTTATAGACATCTTTCAAAATTCTTATTCTTTATTCTAAATTCTGCTTTTAATTCGCCAACTCTATAATTTAAAATTGTGATATATAGTTATGCAAATAGATAAAATTTTCTCAGACCCCACAAATAATTTCTATGTTATGATTTTTAAATTCTCCAACCCAAAAGGAATTTTATTTAATATCGTCTTTTCACAACAGAACCATTCAGATTGTATATCTATGTATAAGGTTTGAGCATAGCATTAGAATTGCGTATATTTTTCTTCACTAATTTTTACCATATACACATTCATTTGGAATGCGTTGTTACATGTAATATACGTATTTTACGTGTTTTGTTAATTCTTAAGTGAGATAGATCCGAGAAATTCGATAAGTCAATTAAATAAAGATTTACAGAAGCAAAGTCCTCTGACCACCCCCCCCCCCCCAAAAAAAACCTGAACTCAAACAAATCATTTCAGTATTTCGTGTAACATCGTAGTGGGGTTTTTTTGTTTCAAGATTGTTGCGGCTCTTTAAGTGTGTTGTTCTGATATTTTGGGTACTATTTGGATTTTTTTTACCTGGACTGTGTGATACGATCTTAATACGACTGGGTCGTTGGTTTTCGATAGCCTCAGTCTTATTCGTCAAAGTTTACGCATTCGTAATAATGAAAAAATTTACAAAAACCTGTTTTTTTTTTTTTTGACATATATTTAATATTGCCTGCACCCTCTCTTTTGTTAATTTGATGGGTTTGGAATCTTTAGGATTGCTCTCGTCATAATTCAAAGCCAGTGCCGACTCCGTGTTCTCTCGCACCTCGATCAGTGATGCACCCTCGTGAATACTCCTACAAGTAAGAACCTCTTGAACGGCCCGGACAATATATATAGCTAGGCATGCACATGTTAATTAAATAATCTGACATATTTTTTTTAATATAAAAGGTTATGTGTAGATAATATTGTACATATACAGTATAATTATTTTTTTTTAAAGATCTAACTCTGCATTGCATTAAACAGCTGTTGAAGACAACTTACACGTATATTTCAGAATAAGTGGTTGAATTTACCCCGCGTCCTTAAAATCAGTAGGGGTAATTTCGACCAAAATCAAATGGACGTTTCTTGTGCATTTTGAGAGAAATTCAAGATAAATTTGTAAAATTCTGCAACTTAAAGATCTTCCAAGAAGAAATAAAACAATTTTAATTTAACTCGTGCTGTAGACTGTTGAACAAGGTTAAACTTAAAAAGAGGTTGTACGAGTTGTCTCTCTTGCATTTCCTTGATCAAATCCAGCGCACTGAAGACTGGGACTTTGAACGTCAAACTGGAGACATAAATGATAGTTAAAAATATTATTTATATCTCTGATCAAGCCATATTTGCGATGAATAATTATAGTACGACACACAATTTGAGGAATAGTTTTCTATAATTCCGAATAAATTAAACTTGTCTCAACACTTCCGTAGATCTTTGTGTGGTTTTGAGTTCCTGTGGTCGAAATTAAACGTTGGTCGAAATTACCCTGACTTACCCTACTGATCTTTTTCTATGATAGTAGAATCATTCAATCATGTCATGGGCCAGTGAACTTCCTTCTGAGCTTCAGCGCCGACCAACTGGTCTTGTTGGACTGACTGGCCTGGACATCACTTACAATGCTATACACAAGCTGATCTGGGACTCATTCTATAACAATCGACGGTCAGACAGAGTACCCCTACAGTTCAAGGTGTTCCCCGGAGACCATGAATATCCAAAATGTAGAACAAACAAGGTTTGGTTTAGCAATTTATAAGCAAAAAAGAGTTGAAAATATTTTGAATTTAAATATTTAAGAAGAAAATGCTACCAAAACAAGATTAATTTTAACCCAGCCCCCCAGAAGTTTGAAACAATAACTTGTTAATAGTTTCTTGGTTATAAAACCTGACCAGTGAAAGCGTTGATCAGAGTTAAATAAACATAACCTTTCCCTCAGATTCATGGAATGAAATATATGTACATTGCAAAGCAGATTTGTGTATATTTGTCTGTACTTATAGAGACAGTCGTATGAGTGGTACATCCCTATATTTGTCTGTACTTGTAGAGACAGTCGTATGAGTGGTACATCCCTAAAGGGATCCTGAAGACTGGTTGGATGAATAAGCACCTGACCCTGGTTCCTGCTGTGGTGGTTGTCTTCTTTGATCTTGATTGGGACGAGCCCCTGTGGAAGGAGAGACAGATGGAGTGTGCCACTAGAGTGGAGATTGTTAGGTAAAGACTTGAGGAAATAGTGGAGATTGTTAGGTAAACAGGTTTTCCACTAGAGTGGAGTGGTGTAGATATTTTCAAATAAACAGATGCACGTCTGTATGCCACCAGAGTGGAGCTGCCACAAAAGTGAATGTAGGCAGTATGACATTAGAAATTGTCAGATAAAGATACCTCCTGTTTGCATTGCAAAAGATTTATGGTCACCTGTTTTTATTACCGTAAGTTTTGGAAGATTGGACGATACTTTTTTTCTCAGAACCGCTGGGATCGTCCTATTTAACGAATCGACCTATCTAAGGCCCAAGTTTACGAAAAATGCCCCAAAATCAATAAAATTTACATCAATTTTAAAGCAAATCTGTGCCATTTTCGTATTTTTTTAAAATTACTTGACCAAGAAAAAAATAATAAACAATAAAGAATTAAATATTTAAATATTTAATAATTAAATATTTATTCCATTGATTTCTTACAAAATAAGTTCCATTAAATATCCGTCGATGTACAAAAAATCTTATTATATCATCAATAATGTCTCAAAGTATATTTACAACATGCTGTGTCCATCTTGTGAAGTTGGAAGTCGCAATCGTTTACTAAAAATAAAACCGCAACTGTATCAAAGTTTAAAATACGGAGGAGTTTTCACAATCGCAATTGAATTTTTTTTTATTACCATTTATTTGTAACGATTAATTGAAATAGTATACCTAAATATTTTTTCATAGTCTTGTGATATTTATTTAAATGTAAAATGTGTGAAATAAACTGTTGCCGGTAAATTCCTAAAATACCGCTAGTCATAACTATTTTGTTTTATATCCAAGGGGTACACCGAATTATACAAAGATTGGCTTCTAATAGAATTTTAATTGTCTGACAGATAAAGGGATATACACTGTGTACACAAAGGTGTTAACACCTGTAGGTTTAAACACCTGCGGGGCATGATTAACAGATCCACGTGCCGTTACATAGTGCTATACATCATTGAACAAACAAAACTGTGAAATTCCTGATGACTGTTAAATTGCGAATGTACTCTCAATTAAATTCATTTTTTAACAACAATATCTCAAGCAAATTATAGCATGTTAATATGATTAATTTCACTTGCTCGCTGTTACATGTACATGTAATAGTCATTTGCGTGTTTTAGCAAATCCCTGAACAAGAAATATAAAAATGGCGGTCATCGCACTTAATATTGTACCCCGGTAAATAATGTTGGAATAAAAGAATGTGTCCACGATGTTCTAAAATGGAAATGATTATTGTTTGATTTCGGGTATTTCCCTAATTATAGCTGTTGTATACTACCGTATTTAAGTGTTTAACGACGGAGTCAAACAACGACGGCATTGAACAGGCAAGTTGGAGAAAATGCGTTATATCACAATTCAAGGAAGTTTTAACTATGTTTGTGTAAAACACTATTAAAATGCTGTACTCATAAAAATACCAGTTTATTTTCTTCATACGTTAATATCACGGGTTAAGTTAAAGACCTTTACATGTTCTGATACGTAGTTTCTACGTAAGAATCTCTAGAAAGTCGATAAACAAAGCCTCATCCTATCTTCCAAATCGTCCTATCTAAGGATTATTAAAAAATTATGGCTGAAAATGAGCCTTTCGACCTATATACCCCATCGACATATACCCCAAAACTTACGGTAGGTCCCACATGAAAATGCTGGAATCACACTGTCCGTCCATCTTTTTGTAGATCCATCTCTCCCTTAACACTTTTGTTATGAGTGTTCACTTAAACAGTTTTCAACAAAAGGTTTTCAAATGTTCATGAGTACTTTACTATAAGAGCAAGACACCCACAGATTTAGGGTCATATCATTTTGTCAGTCTGTCTTTTTAAAATTTGAAGTTTCCACAGACTAATTAAACAAATTTGCCCCAAATTTCAAATTTCTTATTGCAGATTTCATGTGTCTCAAACAGGCAACCATAAGTGTATGCATGTCTCTGAATTAAAAAGTTAAAATAATAATTAGTGGTATGTACAAATACTGTACATGCATATGACATTTATGACTTTAAGACTTTTTTTTTAAATTTACAGAAACAGTTTACATGGGCGAGGGACTAAGGTGGCAGTGGTCCTCATACAGAAAAATGCTCCCCTCCCTCCCGGAGAGGATATGGTGGCTGCAGAGAGGGCAGCATCCCTGTGTAGTGCATGTGATTTATCAGCTAAACAGTTGTATGTGTTACCACATACAGACCACCTCATAGGCTACACCATCAGGTACAAAATAAACTACATACAGACCACCTCATAGACTACACCATCAGGTACAAAATATACCACATACTGACCACCTCATAGGCTACACCATCAGGTACAAAATATACCACATACAGACCACCTCATAGGCTACACCATCAGGTACAAAATATACCACATACAGACCACCTCATAGGCTACACCATGAGGTACAAAATATACCACATACAGACCACCTCATAGGCTACACTATCAGGTACAAAATATATCGTATTACTGGGGTATTTTTACCGCTGTAAATTTTTACGAATTTTGGTTCAAACAAGGTGATTTAAATTTTTAGGTGTTAATTTTTTATGAATTGAGCATGTCCGTAAAAGTTAAAATCATCGGACTCCGAGGTAAAATTCCAGATCAATGATTGTTAGCACTTTGAATGCATTTATATACAAATAAATGTGTCTGGACAACCCGATGTGAAAAAAAAAAAAAAAAAAAGAGAAGAAATTGTCCCCGTGAAAACGATCTATTAAATTATAATACATGTATGTTAGTTCATTTATCTTTATATACCATATGCCCTTCATTTATTCCTTTTTATTTAATACACATTGCTAGGTATCAATATTGATTCGAACCGCGTGCTCGCCTCGATTTTATTTAACCAGAAACAAAGAGAGATAACTCAAATCATCAAGATTTAATCGACAGTATTACGTTTTGGAGTTTTTTGAGAAGAGGAAACTATGGCAACAAATTGATTTAAGGCATTAATCACCTCTTTAGGAATCGTTTCACTAAAAGATCCATCTGGATTTGGTAATGTAGATACTGGTTTCAAATAGCTTCGTATCCCCTCCATAATTCTTGATTCAATAATTATAATCTAACAACTAACATGCCATAATTTAAAAATTGCTCAAGACTTAATAAAAGGAATTTAACAACTAACAGCATGTGACATAAAAGTGCTCAAAAATACCAACAGCACTAATTGTATAGCCTCCAGGAACTGAGCTGAATGGCAATTAGCATTACTCCCATACATACGATGTTGAAAATTTACGCAAGGCATTTTTTTACTTCTGTGAAATTTTACACGTTTTAATTTTACTGATTTTTAAAACTCCTAAAAATTAGCAGCATGTAAAAAATACCAGTTATACGGTACCGCATTTCAAAATTAGAAGGACAATTCTGCATTTCTGAAGAAATTTAAAGGAAAAAAAAAATAGATATTTAATGATAAAATTTTTGCTTAAATTTTATAACTAGACAGTTTTATTAAAGATTACTCACCTTCATTAACAATATGAACATTTTACAATCTGTGAAATCAGAAAAGAAATGTTTTAAATTACTAGCCCACCAGACTATTCATAAACAATATTCCTCTTGTCCAAGACATTATTTAGTAGCTCTGAGCTATCGGACTAGTGATAATGTTGAACCTTTATTACACAAAAAAAAAAAAATTCAAGTTTACTGCACAGCTTAAAATTTTTAAACAGAGGGAAAGTGAAACAGATTTGAAGTCACATGGTCAGATTTTAAGTGTATAAGGTCAAGATTATCGATAAAAGCATACAGCTCTCTAACCTTGCCAGTTGTCTAGTGATTGAATGTACATACTGTATGTAAATGTAACTATAGTTTAATTTAAAGATTCACCATTAAATTTTCTTTGAAGGCTGGAGAATGCATTTTATGAGCTTGCTCAGAGCTATTATCACGGTGAGGCTCGGAAAGTTAAATCTCACCGAGACTTTCTAAACAAGACAACACACCAACTTCTGTTTGTCAGGCATCAATTCAAGATTGCTTTCTTTAATGAGCTGAAACAAGACAGTCATACGGCACTGAAGTAAGTTTTAATGTTTTCAGTTTTTTTGAATACATTATGGTATGTTGAGTACATTTTTGTCTTTAGTGTATGATCTTCCTACCCCTTAATATGCCAAAACTATTGCAGCCGGTTTTGGGAAAATGCATTTCTTTCGATAATATAGGTTGCTTTGCTTTAATAATCAAAAGAGAAAATCTGCATGTGCAAAAAATAGAAATATATTTTAATATACATTTTAGCAAACTATTTCTGGAGTGAAATAAATTCAAAATTGATTCTTTTCAGACACTACAAACAGGCATATGGGCACCTATTGGATCTTAGGATGCATGACACAAACCTACTGGAGATTAAAACAATTGCTGGCTTCATCAGCTACAAGGTATGTTCTACACTTTTCACATTGGTGAGATAGGGTGCCAGCCTGACTTTGAGACACTATGTCAAAAACTCTATAAAAGCTGTCGTCAGTATAAAATGTTAAAGACTGGTAACAATTTAATCATTTATGTTTTTCTTGGGTTAAAGGGTAAAGTATTTTCTGCATGTTTATACATGCAATTTTCTACAGTCATGTTTTTTCCCCCAGATTTGTAGACTGTCATTCCAGCATACTGCCCCTTTAGATGCTATAGCTCAGTTTAGAAAACACATTGACTTCTTCAAGTCCAGAGTGGGCTGTTCAGAGTTGGCATTCGAACACAGTGCTTGGATGTCAAAACAGTATGTCTTCTAACATCATACAATTTTGTAGGAGGATAAAAAAAAATTAAAAACTTTCTGGCTTGTAAAGCCTTTAAAAGAAACTTAATGACTGTGACAATTTAATTTAAATCTTGCATATTATGCTTGTTTAGACAGAGCTTTATGTATGTACACTATACATGTATTTGTCAGGTTTCAAGTGTTTGGGGATCTTTTTGATGAAGCTATTAAACTTGGCCTGACAGCAATACAGACACAACATCCAGGGTTCTACTACCAACAGGCAGCAAACCACTCCATCAACAGGAAACAGCTGTGTAGGGGGCTATGTAAGGTAAAGTGTAAAGGTGTGTAGGGGACTCTGTAAGGTAAGGTGTACAGGTGTGTAGGGGACTCTGTAAGGTATGGTGTAAAGGTGTGTAGGGGACTATGTAAGGTAAGGTGTACAGGTATGTAGGGGACTCTGTAAGGTAAGGTGTTCAGGTGTGTAGGGGACTCTGTAAGGTAAGGTGTTCAGGTGTGTAGGGGACTCTGTAAGGTATGGTGTAAAGGTGTGTAGGGGACTATGTAAGGAAGGTGTACAGGTGTGTAGGGGACTATGTAAGGTAAAGTGTACAGGTGTGTAGGGGACTCTGTAAGGTAAGGTGTTCAGGTGTGTAGGGGACTCTGTAAGGTATGGTGTAAAGGTGTGTAGGGGACTATGTAAGGAAGGTGTACAGGTGTGTAGGGGACTCTGTAAGGTAAAGTGTACAGGTGTGTAGGGGACTCTGTAAGGAAGGTGTACAGGTGTGTAGGGGACTCTGTAAGGGAGGTGTACAGCTGTGTAGGAGATGCTGTAAGGTAACGTGTACAGGTGTGTAGGGGACTCTAAGGTAAGGTGTACAGGTGTGTAGGGCACTCTGTAAGGTATGGTGTAAAGGTGTGTAGGGGACTATGTAAGGTAAGGTGTACAGGTGTGTAGGGGACTCTGTAAGGTAAGGTGTACAGGTGTGTAGGGGACTCTGTAAGGTATGGTGTAAAGGTGTGTAGAGGACTCTGTAAGGAAGGTGTACAGGTGTGTAGGGGACACTGTAAGGGAGGTGTACAGCTGTGTAGGAGATGCTGTAAGGTAACATGTACAGGTGTGTAGGGGACTCTAAGGTAAGGTGTACAGGTGTGTAGGGGACTCTGTAAGGTATGGTATACAGGTGTGTAGGGGACTCTGTAAGGTAAGGTGTACAGGTGTGTAGGGAACTTTAAGGTAAGGTGTACAGCTGTGTAGGGGACTCTGTGAGGTAAGGTGTACAGGTGTGTAGGGAACTCTATAAGGTAAGGTGTGCAGCTGTGTAGGGGACTCTGTAAGGTAAGGTGTACAGGTGTGTAGGGGGCTATGTAAGGTAAGGTGTACAGGTGTGTAGGAGACTCTGTAAGGTAAGGTGTACAGCTGTGTAGGAGATGCTGTAAGGTAAGGTGTACAGGTGTGTAGGGGACTCTAAGGTAAGGTGTACAGGTGTGTAGGGGACTTTGTAAGGTAAGGTATACAGCTGTGTAGGAGATGCTGTAAGGTAAGGTGTACAGGTGTGTAGGGGGCTCTGTAAGGTAAGGTGTACAGGTGTGTAGGAACAATCAACAGCCTGTATTAAGTCCTGAAGTAGATACACTGTACATTTATGTCTTGGAACTGTAAGGATTGTCTAGGCTGGCTTCATTGTCAAACAAGTCATTTGATATTTTCAGAAAAACTTTATACATGTTGTTAGGAATCTTATATATTCAGAAAAGAAAATTAAAAGTGGAGATCTATGACGTGATTTTTTAGATGTTATTGAAAATCTATGAGAGAATGAAAATTTTGTGATCAGCCTGTCTTGCAAAATTACTCCAAAAAAGTTCTTGTAAAAAAAGTGGTTTGCAGTACATGTAGTAGGTTTACAGTTAGTCAAATTATAAACTTGAGCCTCTTAAAGAATCACAACCTGACAAGGTGTATCAATAAAATGTAATATGATCCAAGGGCTTTCTGAATGATATAATGTTTCAACCATACACTGAGTTGATAAATTTTTTAAGATGATGACTTAATATAATAAACATGTGAACCCTATCAAACAGTCTACCTAACAGATACATGTAAATGTAATCTACAGTAATTTAATAACCTTTCCTCCTGTTGTAGCCCCTGAATGTAGTGTTTCAGCCTGACCCCCTGGAGAGCCTCAGTAACCTTGACTTTTATGGACAGAGACCCTGGAGACAGGGACATCAGAGTAAGTTAATTATCTGTCACAGTCTTAAAAAAAGTTAGTTATCTGTCACTTAAGGTAGGTCGTGGGTTTACTGCATAAAAATTCTTACAAGAAAACATATCCTGAAAATTTGATATAATGTTCCTTAGAATTTGCGGCATATTATCTGAAATTTTTATTAAATTTGCCTACGTGGTTTTAATGCTATATTACTGTAAACGCGGTATAGTTTTCGGTACTATTTTTACGCTTTACTATAGAAATGTATAGGAAAATGACGTTTTTAAAACAATTTTACCGAAAGAGTTTCTTTAGAAAAGGTTGGATAACTTTTTAAAGACGTAGACGAATTACTCAGAAATTTCAAAATATCAAGATGAGGAAAAATTACAACTATTGAGGTAAAAAAATCAGTACATCTTCTTGCTAGTTTTTTTGCTAAATAATTTTAAAGTTTGCTTTTATATTGCCAAAATATTGCGTTTATGGCGTTATTTATGACTAAAACATCATATATTGAACATAATCGTATAAGTATCTTTATATTTGGAATATATAAGATCTTAAAGGTGGCATAGATGCACACTGTAATTTTATTCAGCATTTCACGTGTTAGGAAGAACAGCAACTTATCTACTCGAGTATTATGAAATTCATATTCTGCCCACAAAGTCAGAATGAACGGTATATTGATATAAACATTCTTCGTGCATTAGAATTAATATGCAGCGACAACACTGCGATTGATAATAAATTAATACAAGTAATGTTAGGATGTTCAAGTTTATTATTAAAATTTCAAGTAAAACACGTGAATTTTATCACTTTATTCGAAATCGGTAAAAAAAAAAAAAGAAGAAAAACACCTCACTACTGAGGAGGGGTGTGTTTACCGGCAATGTTCTTTTTAAATCAATCGCAATTCAATATATAGTCCGATCTCTCAAACATTTGTTCTTTCTTGTTTGTTTGTTTGTTTGTTTTTTTTTTTTGGTTTTTTTTTTTATCAATTTTTCATCGGCAAAATGTAAAATACTTGCATTCAACTTATACACAAACAGCTTAATTTTGTTGTAGAAAAAATTGTACTTCATACTTGTATTTCGTAATACATGTAGTATATTAATATCTGTTAAGAGTGTCATAAAGTCCGATATGCCAGGTGTTTGTATAAATTTATTTTAACATGTTTAATGAATTTCACTATGATAAATCAATTCCTTGCTAGCCTGTATATAGAGAACGGCTTTATCAGATTCACAATTTTTAAAAAAAGAGGAAAATGCATGTAATTAAATTTCATCCGTTTTTAGTGTTGAGGATTGATTTTTTTCCTAAAAATAACAAATTCAAATTTTTTTTCGGCTGTGATGAGCAAACATGGTACATTACACACCTTCCCTTCATTGCAAATTACGTGCACACATACAGCCTTTCAATTTTTCGGCTTAGCAATTTACAGTAACTTTCATTTTGCGTGCCATATCTTTAATTTAACACTGACTCATTTTGATTGACCTTTAGCAGTTAAGTATCATTTTCAATATAACATTTAATTATTCCTTGCATTTTGCATCGCATTTATTATGTTTTATTAGTTTGTTCTTATACATTACACATATAATCAGAGCAGAATTCAAACTTATAATACTCTGGTTTCATACATTTACGACAATACAATTACGGACAATAACATGTACTTTCTATGCTTCGTACGGACTAGATTCTATTGCTAAAGTAATTTTCAGAGAAATAAACGGGAAGCAATGCAACGTCGCCTTTGTGACGTAACTGACGTCATAATCAAATGTGCACAAAACAACCACTCGAATCGTCAAAATTGTGTACCGAAATTGATGACAAAAGCAAACCCGCGACCTACCTTAAGTCATCTGTCGCAGTCTAACACAAAAGTAAGTCAGTTATCTGTCACAGTCTAACACAAAAGTAAGTCAGTTATCTGTCATGTAAGTCATTTGTCACAGTCTTTCACAAAAGTAAGTCAGTTATCTGTCACAGTCTTTCACAAATGTAAGTCAGTTATCTGTCACAGTTTTTCACAAAAGTAAGTCAGTTATCTGTCATGTAAGTCATTTGTCACAGTCTAACACAAAAGTAAGTCAGTTATCTGTCACAGTCTTTCACAAAAGTAAGTCAGTTATCTGTCATGTAAGTCATTTGTCACAGTCTAACACAAAAGTAAGTCAGTTATCTGTCACAGTCTTTCACAAAAGTAAGTCAGTAATCTGTCACAATAAGTCAGTTATCTGTCACAGTCTTAAACAAATATAAGTCACTTATCTGTTACAGTAAGTCAGCATTCTCCATGTTTCTAACACAGATTTAAACAAAAGTATTCTCTATGTTTCTAACACAGTTTAGAAGAAAATTGTTCTCCATGTTTTCAGCATAGTTTTAAACCATTTTTTTCCCACATTTTCAACACAGTTTTAAACCAAACTTTGATTTCTAGGCATTGAGCCTCCAGATTTGCAGAGAGAAAGAGATGGAATTCTTGCTCTCCAGAGTTTAGAAGTCAAAGTGGACCACTCTGTAAGTCAAAGTGTAATGGAAAATAAATCAATTACTTCTGATTTCTTAATTAATTGTATACTTTGAATTTATACTGAAATTAGCATTTTTTAGAATGGTCAGTAGATAAATGTTTGATAGATAAGTTTACAAGTATTGTATGGATCTCTTTCAGTGGTTGATTATTCCTCTACTCAGCAGTGCTGTGGCACAATTCAAAAAGTACAAATCTCCCCGTATGAAGCGATATCTGAGTAAGTTTCAGAAGTACATGTACAATATTGTGAAGATATTTTACATATTGAGCATATGCTATCATGATAAAATGATTAGGATGATGATTAGGAAATGACAGATTTGTCATAATGTTATGTTTACTTAATGATAAAATTGATATTACATACGTAATGCATGTTTTGGGCATTTTTCTAAGTAAATTCAAATGAGAGTGTTTTTATTTGTAAGGTATTTGTCGACTTATGTTACATTCTGTTAATCTGTTTTTGGAGCATGCAATTTAGACATTTTTTTTTTGAACACCAATCCTGATATGCAAGTTACTGAGTTCTGACATTTTTTTTAGCGATATTTGTTCATGTTTTAAATCCTCTTTTGGGATTTTTCTTTTATGAAATTGGGAAAAACACACACTTTTTACCATTGGGGATGGGTCCCTTATGACCTCTTAAAAATCTCTGCTAATCTTTTTGTTTTGTTGCCAAGTGTGTTGCTAGTGCTAAGGGTAACATTGAAAATTGGTTAATGCTTCTAAACCAGTCAGATTTCAGTATTTAACACGAAGGTATAATAATCATTGTTCTGCATTCCTGACAAGATTTTTTTTACAGTGGTACAGATGGGAGAAGAGTACTATCATGCCAAAGATTACAATAAGGCACTCATGTAAGTCTAAAGGGGAATAATTCAAACATGTATCAATGGGGTGCTCGTCGGCTTGGCCAAGATCAGGTGCCCATGTTGGTTGCAGATTAACCAAAAAATGAAGTCAAATGAAATGTGTTACAAGTATGTTCTATGTAACACTACATCCTTTTGGCAGATTGTCTGAAATTTCTGTCCATTTCTGTCAAGCGGTTAAAAAGATTTCACTCTTAATATAGCAGAGACCCAAGTGGGCTACGGACTATACATGTTCAGGCATAACATTTATCTTTTTCATATTCAACTAAACAAAAAAAGTATAATCCAAATATAAACTCTTCACAAAACATTGTCTGAGCAAGAAAAATCACATAACTCATTTCCATTAAAATGTTACAGTATATAAAGGACATGGGTAAATTTGTTAATCTTTGGGAGTTTTTCTACTCTTATTATTTGGAAATCTGAAGTAAAAATACATTAAAGTACTTTCAATTTTTCTAAAGATATTGTATGTGGGGATGAAAATTTCAAACTTATTTGGTAATATTCAGAGAAAAACTGTGTCAAACATTTTTTGATTGACTATTTTGAGACCTAGGGCTACGGACTATACAATCATATAGTATTTTTCATTTATTGAGAGACCATAGAAAAATACCTGTTTGTATCAGTAAATATTTGTTAAAATTGTCATCATGGAGTTCACATGTGTTTAATAAATCCTTTCATTTGGATATTAAATCAATTTATACAAAAATCCCGTAAAATTTAACAAAATAAAACGAAAAACTTCAAATAAATTCATAATACAAGTAAAATATAAATTGTCGGAACAAAGTAATACATGTCAGAACTACATGTAATTGGTGTTTTGATAACAAAATATAGTTCAAGACCATCTGGAGACGAAGAATGGGCTTTAATTAAGCATCTATGAAGGCTGGATATCATGTGAGCACTGGGGCTACGGACTATACCGTTAAACATCTCTATTGTGAACAATCCACTCAAAGAAAATATAATTGTATAATTAAATTTTGGGCAATTTTTTTTTATTATTTGGCATTCTATAAAAGTTCATGCTACTGAGTTTGAGTATTCAAAATACCATATTTAAAAATCAATTGTCTAATGTATTGTGTACTTTCAACGCCAAATGAAATTTCAGTTCAACTAATTAATGCATTATTGGTGTTCAAACTATAATGAATAAAAGCAGAAGGAGCTGTATTTAAATCGAGGCATGTTTTTTTTTTGGGGGGGGGGGGTGTTACAGACTAGATTGCTTCATATTTTTTTTATTTTAATGTAATACATGAAGCTCAAGGTGGTCATTCAAAAGGTGTTTCGGTATATAATTTCTCATGATCATATGGTGTAATTCATAAAAAAGTTACAAAACATGACTGATCATTTAAAGTAAAAACATAATTAGTACAATATTTATCCATCAAGAATCAATGCTTTTTTTTTGAATTAACAATTCAGTGACAAGTAGATTGGGTGACACATTTATAAGAGTGAAGGTCTCACTTTGTACTAAATTGCAAAGTAAGGAGTTGATCCTTATGTTATGGGATCAAATCCCACTATGGGATGTTAAGACTGGTTGATGAGAAGTAATAAACCATTGAAGCCCAAATTTGCAGTAGATGCATGCAGGAAAAAAAATCTTGCTAATACAGAAGTATGGTTATATGGTCTATAAGTTTGCTAAATTTATTTGTAGAGTCCGTAGCCCTTTTGTAAGTAGGATTTTTGTGGCTAAATATCCTTTTAAAAATATTACAGTGCAAATTATTTTAAATGGAATGATAGTATGTATCACAAGAAGGAAAACTTTATCATGTATATTTAGAAATATGTTGTGACCACAAACATAACAGGACAGACTACAGAAGCAAGCCTTTAGTTGAAAAATGTTAATTTTCAGACATTTTATCTTTAATTACAGTGGTATTTGTATTTAAAAACATTGCATTTGTTTGAATAAAGACATTATTGTATTGTAGTTATTGTATCAATAATGTATATGACTTTTTCTGGAAGTTATTATATTAGGGCTACGGACTATACAGGGCTACGGACACCAATCATTCTTTAATAACTTCTTTTGGTGTTAGCGCAAAAGCTATTCATTACTGTTTTTTTATTTGACTGGTAACTGTGAAAATATCAAACAAGAGCATGATAAATTATACATTCTTTTGTTGAACACAAACTATAATGAAATATGGGGCTACGGACTATACAAAAACTTTTACCAGTATGGGAAAAAATTACAAAATGTGCACGCATTTTACCATATAACCACTATATTTTTCTCATAGTACTTTTTTTCTTAAGTAAAATAAAAAAAATCAAACACATTATATTTGCTCTTTTTTGCTAAAAATTATGCATTTATTCCAACATTGATAAATCTTAAATTATATAACAAAGGTATTTCTGCACACATTTATTCATAATTTCCACAATTTTTAGCCTTTTTCTTTTCTGTAAAAAATAAACTAAACCAGAGTGATTTTTCTATAATTAAATATATTTATTTTTAAATGTTTCATTCAAAATAATTTTAATTCACCATTTTTTAAAATGTAAAAAATCAAGTGCAACAGCATAACGCTTCAAAAATTATGAATCTTTGACTTTATTCTGTTGTTTTTTCAAAGACGCAGATACTATATATATGATATTATATACCAATGGAAAGCTCTCATTCTGCTCTTTGCAATGCAACAAAAGACATTTAGATTAGATGTAACTATAAAGAGTTACATCTATATAACATCATTAAGTGGAAATGGGCACCTGATCTTGGCCAAGCCGTCATGTAAGTCTAAAGATTACACTAAGGCACTCATGTAAGTCTAAAGATTACAATAAAGTGCTTATGTAAGTCTAAAGATTACAAAAAGATGCTCATGTAAGTATTAAGATTACAATAAAGTGCTCTTGTAAGTCTAAAGATTACAATAAGGCTCTCATGTAAGTCTAAAGATTACAATGAGGCATTCATGTAAGTTTAAAGATTACAATAAGGCACTCATGTAAGTCTAAAGATTACAATGAGGCACTCGTGTAAGTCTAAAGATTACAATAAGGTGCTCATATAAGTTAAAAGATTACAATAAGTCAAAAGGGGAATAACTCAAGCATGTAACAATAAGGCACTCAAGTAAGTCTAAAGATTACAATAAGGCATTCATGTAAGTCTAAAGATTACAATAAGTCAAAAGGGATTAACTCAAGCATATAACAATAAGGCACTCATGTCAGTCTAAAGATTACAATAAGGCACTCATGTCAGTCTAAAGATTACAATAAGGCACTCATTTAAGTCAAAAGGGGAATAACTCAAACATGTAACAATATGGCACTCATGTAAGTCTAAAGATTACAACAAGGCACTCAAGTAAGTCTAAAGATTACAATAAGGCGATCATGTGAGTCTAAAGATAACATTAAGGCACTCATGTAAGTTTAAAGATTACAATAAGGCACTCATGTAAGTCAAAAGGGGAATAACTCAAACATGTAACAATAAGGCACTCATGTAAGTCTCAAGAGGAATAAATCACATAAGCTGGAAGGCACTTGTGTAAATCTTAAGAGAAGTAATCACAAAAGTGATGATAAGGCACTCAAGGACACATATAATTGAAGAGGACTGACACACACATTTAACAACAAAGCTCTCATGTTAGCTTTAAGGGAGAAAACTCAAGCAAGTACGAAGTATCAATGATGCACAAAGACATTTAAGTTTCATGTGTCATGTGGAGCAACATGTAAGCCTCAAAAGGGGAATAATTCATGCACATGAAAATGAGCCACTCAGGTATGTATACGTTTTAAGAAGATTAACTCACACTTGAAACAATAGAAGACTTTCAAGGGGAAAAAACGGCATATTAAAATAAGGCACAAAGTCTCATGAGAATGACATAGTAAGTCTCTAGGGAAATTCCTCTGACATATATGATTGTGTAGATTGTTTTGACTACAATAGATTATCATCAACAGCTACAGTTTTGTGTCAACTTTGGTTCTAAAGCTTATTCACACAAAATCTCCTTGCAAACCCCTGTCATTTTAATGTTAAGTATTTAAAAATATATTTTACTAGCCTCTGTTCTCCAGGATCTATTTTATCTGCAATGATAGTGAATATGATTTATTATGGATGCTGCCATGTAAACTGCTACAGAGTGATTTCATTGCTCAAGATAAATTTGGCATCGCTTAATATTGTGATTCGATCAAGAGAAAGTGAATTTTGCAGTAGATGTCCACTGGTTTGTGGAAATGAAATGGACACAAAACACTTGGTTTGCATTGTTGGATTATCATGCACATCTGTTTTTGTAACACAGAGTAATATTCATAATATATCTGTATAGACTGAGCAAACACAGGAGTTTAAAGAAATTTTACTCAGACACAGACACAGTGATATTTATACATTACAGAAAAGAAAGTCAACTGTTTTTTTCTGCTATCTTCTTTTTGTTTTATACATTGTATTGTTAGTCATTACACTCAACTGATATTCTCAATACTTGCTGTAGGTTGTTGAACAAGGTGACATGGGATTACCGCGGGGAGCGTTGGTGGTCCCTCCTGACCTCGATTCTGGACATCTCCCTGAAGTGTGCCTACTTGACCGCTAAAGTCCAGGACTATGTGTCTGTCTGTCTGGAACTTGTGGGACCATGTATCCTTCTCTTAGAGTCAAAAGATTATTTTATATAATCCATAGTTAATGTATGATTATTAAGTATTACTGGTATCTAAAACTGCTAACAATCAGGTTTAGATGTAACAAATCAGTTGATTTAAATCCATGTAAATGAATAAAAGAAATGACACTAGAATACAAGTACAGGTATTTTGAATCAGTACGTATGTGAACATGTATCCTTATGCATTGCTTACAAGTAAATGTTATTTATCAGGATCTGGGTCGAGTAAAAAAGCATAAAGACGTGTGCACGTGTGCATTGGTATCATGAAGTAATATTTGTTTGATATTTGGCATTGACTTGTCCTTGACCTTTTACCAGATGTCAAACTCAGTGATGAAGAGAAAACAAGAATTCAGATGAACCTGACTAGAGTCATGAATGTAAGAAATCCGAAGCATCAGAGTTTGAAATGTTTTACTTTGTTGACTTTACTTTCTTTCTAACTTAACTTTTCCATGGTGAACTTTGGAAATGAAACTGATTTTCTACTTGCTGTAAAAACCAGAATAGTGGAAGGGTGGTGATTGGGTGAAAACACAGTTTAAGATCTTAAATAGACCTAAAGTTACCCAGGGTCACTTTTGCAAAATTGTCATTCACATTCTATCACTGGCTAAATTTGTAAGTTAAAAAAACACACTTTTGAAATAAATATTAAAAAAAAACTCACTGTTCCCTGTTTGATATCATTTTTCATAATCTGCTATAAAACCTTTGTTTTATGACATTAGAAATTAGTCTCAATTTTCTCTGTCCAAACAGAACGACCAGCCTGAGGCTGAGCCAGGGTTAGATTCTGAGTGTGTGGAGGAGGCACGCCGTCTCTGGCAGACCTCGACCGAGTCACCATGTGTTTTCACCATGGACGTACAGACTATTGTACCATTTGGTAAGACTATAGTTACCAAAAATTTTTAAAAAGTCTGACATATTAAATGCTTTGTGAATTTTGCCAAAAACCACCTAATGAGAAAAAAGTCTAAAAGTGTCTTATGTTACACGTGTATGTGGGTTGTTGTGAAATAAGAAAAGAAGAGATAGAAGAATTTTGTAGGAATAAAGACAAACTATACATATTTTATATGTTTACTTATTTTCAGTGGAATGTAAGGCTATGTTTACATCAGAAACATTTGCAGCTGACAGTGAAGTGGAGCTACAGATTTACATCAGGTAAGTCTATGTACATGGGAAACACTATGTCTAACCTCCATAGCTCTTGGCGAAATAATGGATCATTTTTTTGCTTCTAAAGAGGACTATAATTACCTGATTGCTAGAGAGAGCTTAGTGAATTGAAGAATGATAATTGACTTTTGCCATGTTGAAAAATTTATTCTTTCAAAAAACATCCTTTAGGCTTTAATAGCAGTTTCTTTAAGATTTTTATACAGAAGTTAGAATTCTTTGAATTAAAGATCTAAAGGAAATGTTTCACAGAATGTTACTGTCTGGCACTGATTGAAAATAATATACTGTACAATGTATACTGTATAATGAACAATATACTGACCTTCCGGTAAGTAATTTGGCCCGTCATATAGAATTCATGTAAGATTAAGGTTTGGCTCCATTGAAATCATTTCTTTTGAAATTAAGTCATTTATGGATATCTCATAGACTTGGACTTATAGAATACATGGTTTCATTCTACGATTTCTGTATTTTTCAGTTCTATATCAACAATATGATAGTAGATTTGTATTGACATGTCTTTGGCTTTCTATTTTTAACTTAAAATGTAATTGTACTTGTTAAACATTTGATAACAAACTGACAGGAAACTTAACATGTCTATTTACAGAGCTAATTGTCAGTTTCCGGTCCGTTTTTCCAAACTCTCGATTCAGCTGAACAATCAGATCTATAATGATTACTGTAAGGTTGTGGATGGACATGGAATATCTGCTGTATCTGATGGAGATTTCACAGACAAGGACTTGTACCTGGTTCCTAAGAAAACCAAGCTCTATACCTTCTCTTTCCTACCCGTCAAGGATGACATCAATTCACAGATCGAGGTAACTGTGTAAAACAATCCCTCTTTGATGTATGAATAGTGTATCGATGTGTGACTGAACTCTTTATGTTCTAATGATTATAATGTATCATATGTGCTTTATTTTCAAGGTTATCAGTACTGAAATGCATGTGTTATCAAGCAATTATTCTACTGAGTGCCATTAAATCTTTTAAGTAGCTTAACATCATGGGGTTTTTTTGGAGAATATATTAAGAACACTTTATTGACCCTTTTCTACGTAATGTGACTCTCCCTGTATGTCTGTAGGTGACCTCTATGGTCCTAGAACTACGGTCAGAGACAGGGAGGTGTGCCTTGCTGAGGTGGATGGGAGGGGGAGGGGATGCTTTGGTCTCGCCCTTTACCTCCTTACCAGTGATAAACAAACCCCACACAAAGCAGGAGGACATCCACTGGGAGTGCGTTGGAGTCCGACCTAAAACTAAGTATGTTTCACTAAATAAATGACATAGAACAAGTAGTACATTTGTATAATAAAGTATGGTGACACTTCTATGAAACCAGGGGTTTTAAACCATTCATGTAGCAATGCATTGTTAAAGCTCAAGTATACAGCAACAAATTTTTCTCATGTTTGCCAAAATTATAAAATAATTGGAAAAGTACATATACTTTAGTTGTTTTACCCAAGAGATTTTAAAACACTTTTGTTGTTAACAGTTCTGTTTCAACATTTAACCTTTGTTGATTCTCCCCTGTATTGTAATTTCTGACACTTCTATCACAAAGTTTTTTCTATAAGGACAGCTTATCCCTGTTCTTACATGAACCTTTGTTAATTTCTTCCCATATTTTATTTCTCTGATACCTTTGTAACAGAGTTTTACCAAGGACAGCTAAGGTTGACCTTGACCTAAATCATCAGCCGCCATGTCTCCTGAATGAATTCTACTCACTGTCACTGGATGTCAACAACGCAGAGGATGTGGACATCAACAATGTCAGGTCAGTAGTACATATAGATTAACTACATTGTATGTCAGGTTAGTAGTACATGTAGATTCATGTATATTTAAGGAATAACTGTCTATTTTTTTTTTTTGGTTTTATGCTGTGATCAAGTAATTGGCCTTTGGCATTTATGCAAATTATCATGCAAATGAATTGCTTGATCATCATAAAACTAAAAAAACCAGATAGTGATTCCTTATAATTTGATGATTGTGTAAATCATGTGCTCCAAGCCCCATCCACTTCTCTCTCTTTCTCCCTCCTTCCACACAATTTTTTTCATGTGCAATGAACCTATTGATGAACCAATAGCTTCATGAAGAAATGAGTTTTTTTTTTATTATTTATAGTTTTATCTCAGAAAAAGAAATTTGAAAATGTAAATATATATATGTAGATATATAGACTAACAATTTCAGGTCATGTTAGATGCATTAATATAGATATAGAGTAACTGTTTCAGGGCATTGGTACATGTAGATATACATGTTGATATGCAAATGTAGAATTTAAACTTTTACAGTTTTTTTGTGTAGATCTACCTGTTAATGGCATGATTAATTGTAGATTGTCCTTTGGCATCAAAGAAGATTCTTCTACAACCGTTACTGACCAAACAAGTAAGACAGAGTTTTAATGATATACTACATGTACAAAAGTTGTGTGCTTTCTTTAGGGTATTAGTTCTAGTTGTTCATGTATTCTTGTACTGATAAGATTTAGATTGGTTTCAAATCAAAATGTAAGGAATTGGATTTATCTTAATATAGCACATATAGTAACATTCAATTCTTCATGTGATTAATTGCAATCTCTTAATAACAAGAAACATGGATTACATATGTATTACATGTCTGTCCTTTGTTACAGTACACATGTGTTTGGATTATTACATGTCTGTCCTATGTTACAGTACACATGTGTTTGGATTATTACATGTCTGTTCTGTGTTACAGTACACATGAGTTTGGATTATTACCTATATTACATGTCTGTCCTATGTTACAGTACACATGTGTTTGGATTATTACATGTCTGTCCTATGTTACAGTACACACATGTTTGGATTATTACCTGTATTACATGTCTCCTATGTTACAGTACACATGTGTTTGGATAAACCAGAATTTGATGGAAAAACTGTCAACAGAATCAACAATATAGACATAGGGACCATCTCAAAAGGGGGAAAGGTGAGAATGTTACAAGAACATTACAGTCTCCAAACACAGTTTAATTGTCTGCCAGCAGTAGTTTACCTTCGCTGTGAAAGATTTAGTTTGATGAGCTGGAGGTTGGGATTCATGAACTTGTCAGTAATGCAGAAAAACTGAATTTTCAAATAATGTGTGAGGGAGGGTAGAATATATTTTTTGTGTCATATTTACTTTATTCATTTTTTCAAAGTTTCATGAAAAGCATTCATATTCATATTGTACATGTATGTGCAGAACTTCAATTCTGAAGAATTAAATTTTAATGGAAACTTGCTCATCAAGAAATTCTATATTCAAAGGACAAGTGCACTTAAGCAATGCTTAATGGGCCCTTTTCAGTGCCGTATTACTTTAGAACATATTGCCAAATTATTCTCTCTTGGTAATAGTTAAACACAAGTGGATATTTCTAGTTAAAATCACGTTAAAACATCACCTAAATCAGCACGGATTTGAAACAAATGAAGATTTTTAAATGCCTATAGATACCCCATATCCGGAAAAGTCGTACCGAACCTATTTGAGTTTCGTCTATTTAAATCAAGGGGAGGAGACATTTAAATCGGACACTTGAACAATCTGATGGTGGATCATTGACGGGCGTGTTTGCCGAATGATACTTCTTGCGCTATTTTACCTGAGAAAAAAAATCGAATGAAGTTGTATAGATGCCTGTAGCCATAGTGATCAAACTAAGAAATTTGCACGCTTGCATTTGAAATAATACAATAAGTATTAACATTAGTTCCTTTAAATTTTAAAATGAAAAAAGTGTATTTAGGTGACTTTCAATACCTGTAGCAATGTCTTGCATGAATGTTAAAAATGTTTGACGCTTTTATGTATGATGACATTTTAACGACACTAAACTCTCCCAACCCTCCCGTGTTCCTAAAACCAAATACATACAAACTTCTCTATGCAGCACGACTTCGATATAATGATACAAAACGTGCATGGCTATCTTTTACAGTGAGCACCTTTGAGGAATGTTTACATGGGTAGAACTCACGTGACTACCGGTATTTTAAATAATTTATTCCACGGGTGGGTTCAACATAGGTCATACAGGTTAATAACTTTCGCTTGCCACAGGAAAAACATTGAACTTTTCATACATTTTTAATATTTTAAGTACAAGCCTAATCTTGTACAAATTTCCTACTCTCACACAAGTTTTATAAATGTATAATGCGCTTTTTGTCATTTGCACAAGTTTGTACAACGTTAGGCTGACAGTAAACAAAAGCTTTGAAATGAATGACCGCCCTCGATTTACTATAGAAAATCTCGAATGTCGGCTGACCCCTACCACATTGTGTGGCTGTGCTCTTTTTATATTCATAAATTTCAGCGATAAAATTTGTTGAATCTTATGGTTTAGATATCAATTAATGATCTGAGATGAAAAATTATGCTTAATTTGATTCTTCATTTTTTCACATTTTACCGGGGCCCTTAAGTGCACTCGTTCTTTGACACAAAAGCAAATAATGAATTTTTATAGTGGAAATGCTTGTAATATGAGAGTAGAGTATTCAATGTAGATTTTGAATATTTCTTTAAAGGGAATTAAGCAAGGACTCAGCTGGGAATAAGAATTTAGAATTTTACTAAATTGAAATGAATAAGCCTCTTTTTAGGAGTATTGTAAGCAGTATTGTTATATATTTTCTGCTCATAAAGCCTAATTTAAGATCGAAATATATAACCCTCGTAATTTTTTTTGATAGTGCACCAGAAAGCTGTACATAAAAAACTTACAAACCGGAACACGTACTGTGTGTTTTAAGGTAACTATAATGTGAGAAAATGGATAATAGAGGGAGTATATCTATTAAAACAGCTCTATCTGGCTCTATCTAACAAATGAAGGCTGTATTGACATAGGTCTTGTATGTTCCAATAGGTAGAGTATGAGGTTTCCATAACAACCAAACAAGGCCCAGTGACGTGTTCTTGTCAGAAGGAGGAGGAGATTTCACTCAATACGGTCAATCCTTTTGAAGTCTCTGTCAAGCTGCTCTCCATGAAGGTAAAACACCACACAGTCTATAATACATAGAATACACCACACAGTCTCTAATACAGAGAGAACACCACACAGTCTCTAATACAGATAAAACACTACACAGTCTCTAATACATAGAAAACACCACACAATCCCTAATACAGATAAAACACCACACAGTCTCTAATACATAGAAAACACCACACAGTCCCTAATACAGAGAAAACACCATACAGTCTCTAATACAGATAAAACACTACACAGTCTCTAATACATAGAAAACACCACACAGTCCCTAATACAGATAAAACACCACACAGTCTCTAATACAGAGAAAACACCACACAGTCTCTAATACAGAGAAAACACCACACAGTCTCTAATACAGATAAAACACTACACAGTCTCTAATACAGAGAAAACACCACACAGTCCCTAATACAGAGAAAACACCATACAGTCTCTAATACAGAGAAAACACCACAAAGTCTCTAATACAGAGAAAACACCACACAGTCTCTAATACAGAGAAAACACCACACAGTCTCCAATACATAAAAACACCACACAGTCTCTAATACAGAGAAAACACCACACAGTCTCTAATACAGAGAAAACACCACACAGTCTCTAATACATAGAAAACACCACACAGTCCCTAATACAGAAAAAACACCACACAGTCTCTAATACAGTCTCTTTGTAATAATATTAATCACAGTCTCTAATACAGAAAAAGCACCACACAGATTCCAATACAGAGAAAACACCACACAGTCTGTAATACAGACAAAACACCACAGTATGTACATGTATACATGTACCAGTACATATGTATTATGTCTGTAATTCAGAGGAAAAACCACACATCTCTTATACAAAGCAACATCAACAACCAAAATGGTCAAAACAGTGTACATTTTAATATTACCTTCCCTTAAACATTGTAAGAAGTAGATTTTTTAGATGTGTACATCACTTTTAATAAAGACTTGCTTCAATGTCTTATCAATTGTAGTAATTTATTTTCTATCATACCTCTGCTTCCATTTAATGATGCAAAACCTTTAATACATTGTGCCTACATGTATGTACATGTATACATGTACTAGTACATATGTAATATGTATTATGTTAAAATATTTTGATTCAATTCATCACTTAAAAAGGAATACATACTGTAAATTTATGCATCATTTACCTGCAGTTTTCAATAATTTATCTCATGTCTTTTATCTGCTTTAGTTTGAGGCACTGGATACTGTGCAGATTCAGGAGCCATTTTTACTTAGTCCAGAACTGAATTGTACCTCACCATGGACAATAGAGATATCAACTAGTCGCCTCAATCTGGTGAGTTAAGGTAGAACTAGAGACAATAGAAATATCAACTAGTCACCTCAGTCTGGTGAGTTTTTGTTTGTACTAAAGACAATAAGAGATATTTACTAGTCACCTGAATCTGGAAGACTTAGGATAGCACTGGAGATACTGACAATTAGTCACCTCAGTCTGGCGAGTCAGGGTACCGCTACAGTAATCTCTGTAGTCTGGTAACCTCTAAACAATAGAAATATCTGTCACCTCCATAGTCTGTTGAGATAAGGATCTCCATAGTATGTTGAGATAAGGATAGCCCTGTACAAGTAGAGATGTCATCTTCCTGCTTTTTTGGGGTGAGATAAGGACCGTCTTGGATGCATGAAGATGTCACCCAGACTGGTCGTTCAATGATATCCTGTTATGCTAAAGAGGCAATGAATAGAGTATAACATTCAGAATAGAAGAAATACCATTGAAGTATGGATCTTTACCAGTATTTTATATATTTCAGACATCCAGCATTTCTCATGTAGATAAAACTACACAGTCACAGCTGCAAAATGGTAAGTGGACCTTTGTTAAACATGTTAGGTCTTGATTTTGTACATTATGGATCATGCAGAAGCTTGTATTTGAAATATAAGTTGCACAGGTTAGTCTTGTTTAAGTCCATCTATTTTATTTTTTCAGCATTTATTCTTGTCTTGTTTCAGTGTCTTTGAATAAATCAGAGTGTGCCACTGAATGCATCTGTCTGATGGCCATTAACCCCACTCCATCAGCGGTGTCCTTGGGAACATACTCAATTTCATGGAGACGGTAAATAAAGATTTATTTTGATCTTGAGATCTGTTTCTTCATTAGGTTATTCATGTACAATTACTAGGATATCCTCTTTAAATTCTGTACATTTACAAACAGCAGTACATGTATGTTTGACTTGGAATGTTTTCTTAAATGTTTCTTTTTATTGTATTTGTATGTACTTTGTACGTAGTATTTGTTGTACTGTCCAGTTCAATTATAAGTCAGCTTATTATCATTTTACATATACCTTTTAATACAGGAAAACAGGGGAGGACACTCCGTTTGTGGACACCATGTTCCCGCTGCCTACTGTCAATACAGAGTACATTCCCTTGTCCGTGGAGTTAAGACTCCCAGCCTATGGCGGGATTAAGTCCCTTCTACCATTATCATACATACTCCATAATCGTACACCGTACCCACAGGAGATAGAACTTACCATGGACACTAACGACTGTTTCATGTTCTCAGGAAACAAAGAGGTGAAAGTCATTGATGTTAACTGAATTCTTACTGTTTGTTAATTTTTTATCAAACAACAGCTAAAACATACTTTGAAACTTTGCCTGTTCTGTAGTTTGATAGCTAATTGTTTCTAATAGACCATAGTGATGCTTGGTAAACCAAGTTTTCTAAAATATTTTATGATTTTAAAAAAAAGATTTTCTGTCTGGAATTCTTTAATAGTGAATAAACTTTGTTGTAGTTTCACTTCCGAGTGCTGCCAGGGGTGCCGTATGAATTAAAGTACAACTTGTTTCCTTTGGTGGCAGGTCATGTTAATTTACCAAAAATAAACTTTGTTGTAGTTTCACTTCCGAGTGCTGCCAGGGGTGCCGTATGAATTAAAGTACAACTTGTTTCCTTTGGTGGCAGGTCATGTTAATTTACCAAAGATTAACTTTACTCTTCTTCGATACCCAGAACCAATAGACCCAACTCTACAGAAGATGTTACCTACCCATATATTTATTAAGGTAAATTGTGTGGTATATACTTTTATTCAAGTGTAGTGAAATCTATGGACATGAAGTATAGATTAATATATTAACCTTTGCATATAGACATTAATAAATACAAATTCAGTTTGTGACTTAGGTGGGGGCATAGAGATTTTTGTCTGTTCTTTTGGCTGTTTGTCCACAAAAACTTTAATGTTAGCCATTACTTTTGAACAGTTGATGCTGGGGGTTTTATATTTTACCTGTGTATTCATTGTGACATGTCCTTTCTGTTGATACCAACATTTTTTTTACCTTATGACTTTGGTCTTGGAGTTTGACCTACTTTTGAAAAACTTTTACCATGGTCATAACTTTTGAATGGTTGATGCCACTGCTTTTATATTTCACATTAATTTGTATTTCTCATGACAAGACCTTTCCTTGGGTACCAACATTTTGACCTCATGACTCTTGGCCTAGGAGTTTGACCTACATTTGAAAAACTTTAACCTTGGCCATATCTTTAGAACGGTTTGTGCTAGGGCTTTCATATTTCAAAAATGTACCCCTGTGAAATGACCTTTCTTTGCGTTACAACATTTATGACCTCGTAATCTTGACCTTTGAGTTTGGCCTACCTCTGAAAAACTTTGTATTTAGTATTTTGATCTGCTATGTACAAGTTACATGTTATAGTTTTATGCATATGATATAAACTAGTCTATGAAGTTTCTTTTATTTTGTTGATAGCCCTGTGGTAAGGTACTGTCCCAAGGAACATGATGACAGTATGTTGAGAGAATTGTTACATCTGATTGGTCATTGATTTCCTGATGATGGCTGTGATTGGTTACCGCTTTCCTGAGCTGTTGATATTGTGATTACAGTGTATTCCTAAAGACTAGGCTAAATATCTGTTGTATATTTCTGTCTTGTATTTACATGTACATTAAATTGTTAAGAACCACAATTCTTGTTTATTTTTCATTTATTTATTACATATGATTCTCATAGAAATCTATATCTTATTATGAATACTCTTTCCAGCTTTATTTCTTTTAAAGTGTTCGCTTGTGCTAATTTAATGGAAGGTCAGTTAAATTCTGTTTTGGAAAAAGTATTTAAATATTACTGGTAAAAGGACAGAAAACTGCAATTTTTAATTAAAAGCATAATTAAGTTTTTACCTACATGAGCCAATGGTTCAAGTAAGCTTTTCTTGCATCTGTCTGTCGTGTATTGTCTGTAAACTTTTTCACATTTTCGACTTCTTCTCCAGAACCACTCTTCCAGTTTCAACCAAAATTGCCATAAAGCATCCTTAGGTAAAAGGGGATTTAAGTTTTTTCAAGGGTAAATAAGAATTACAGTATATAATCGCCTGTAAGATTTTTGGGAGTCAAATTTTGAAAATTTAATGACCACTGGGCCAGAAAAGATGAAGCATGTCAAAGCTTCATTACATAGTGTATAGATTCAAGTTTGTTCAAATCACGACCGCCGGGGTAAGGGTGGAGCCACAATATTGGTGATCAAAGTTTTATGTGGGAGTACATAGGAAAAATCTCCTTAAGAACAGCAAAGCCATGAAGCATCCTCAGGTAGTGCAGATTCAAGTTTATTCAAATCATGACCCCCACGGGTTGGGTGGGGCCACAACTGGCGATCAAAGTTTTACATTAGGCAGAATGTATAGGAAAAATCTCAAGTACAGCAAAGCTATGATTTGTCATATTAATATGGAACGAAGCTTCCTCAGGTAGTTAAGATTCAAGTTTGTTCAAACCATGCATGACCCCCGGGCAGTGGGTAGGGCCACAACATAAGATCGAACATTTACAGAAGAGTGCATAGCAGAAAATATGTAAAAATATTTTAAAGCCATGATTAGTTATAAATGTGGAAGCATCTTCAAGTCATATATGGCGTATTTTTTAAAAGTTCAGACTAACTAAAATTAAAAAGATCTTTCTATTTGTTTTATTACTTTATATAAAGATAGGACTTTCCTGTAAATTACACAATTTAAATCAATCACATTTCAAAGATATTAGAAATTTAAAACAATAACCTATTTATTTACCGACTCCGCATCTAATTATCAGACAGTTTAGATCAGTTTAAATATGGAAACTTGAGGTTATTCAAGTTCAAATTGGTAAACATTTTAATTTGAACGTAAATAACATATATCATGTTTATCTTCACTCAGTCTCGTATTTTCATTTTTTTTTTTAGCTCAGATACGCCATATATAGCTTTCAGTTAGTGTAGTTTCTTTCTTCTTTTTTCAAATCATGACCCCCTCTGCTGCCCTCCGGGAGAAGGATGAGATGACTTAACTACTTAAACTTTTTAATTATTAGTTAGGGGAGACAACTTAATATATATTTATAATTTAAATTGAACTGGTTTCTGCTCTTTTTTTTGCTCAGGTATGCGATGTGGCCTTTAGACCTCTTACTGTTTCTGGTTGTCTTAAATATATATATATATAATTTCAAAAACAATATGAAGAACCGGTACAGTTTTGTTGGGTGTATTAAAAATAAAAATCAAAAAAAAAAAATTACAAAATATTTTCTGCAAGCGCTTTCGGCATGTTACGCTCTTCAGGCAGTTATACAAATGTCAGGTAGGTTACCTGGTATATATATATATATATATATATATATATATATATATATATATATATATATATATATATATATATATATATATATATATATATATATATATATATATATATATATATATATATATATATATATATATATATGTATGTATGTATGTATGTATGTATATAAGTGGCATATAAACGTTCCACTTAAAATTTTCAGTGCAACATGTACTTGAAGAATATAAAACTGCTGAAAAAGATGAAGAAAAATATAATTGTTTTACACTTGAAAGATGTTGATAAAGATTTTAAAAAGAAAGATCGATTTTGCTGCTCAGGAAAAAAGTGAGCTTTAAACTGTGGTCAATCAGTTTTGTATTCCTACTTTGTGCGTATAAATGTACAAAAATTAAACAAAATAAAATAATCACTCTATAATGCATTGGTATGAACAACCAATACATATTTTGATTTAATGCCAAACTTGAAAGCTCATTTTCATGGGAGGTTGGGGGCTGGGGGTATTATTTATTTCCAAAATCAGCCCCCCCCCCCCCCCCGAGTCAAATGGTCGTTCCCAAATATTTAATACAAGTATTTAATAAACAAAGTTTTCTTTTCTAAAGTCTATTTTTTTTAATATTATTTCATTCAAGAAGGCACATTTATTCCACAGGTGCTTGAATCCCCCCCCCCCCCCCGATAAGGACCATAGGGGCTTGTCTTCCGGATTGTTAAATGTAAAATAATTTTTAAAAAATTGAATCTACTTTAAATACACTTAAAAGTTGTTCAAATAAAGATTCTGACACTTTCAGTCAAGAAAAAACACGTTTGAAAAAGACGTACCACACCTATATACATAGAGTTTATGTATATAGGTGTGGTGCGTCTTTATTAAACGTGGTTTTTCTTGACTGAAAGTGTCAGAATCTTTATTTGAACAACTTTTAAGTGTATTTAAAGTGGATTCAAATTTTTTAAAAATTTATTTTACATTCAACAATCCGGAAGACAAGCCCCTATGATAAAGACCCCATCCACATCATCAATTCGAAAATTACGTAAAACAAACATTTTATAAACAAATTCTATCCCATTCTATTTGTTCTTTTTTATTGAAAATACGTTCTCCATCATAACACATCTATTTTTTTCGGAATTCTGTGTGTCGATTGGATATACTTCCTTCTTTTATTTGCAATCTACGCATGCGCCAATTGATTTACTTCCTGTTGACATTCGCTACAGTTTTTGAAAACAAGAAAGAACATGTGATCTTTGATGTTGTAGATTCATATTTATTCCACGGATAACGTCTTTTATGGTAAGAATTGTTTAAGTTATCAATTACAACAAATATGGATTGTTTTCCCTGGATTATGAACGTTTACAGTTAGTGAATTTACGGGTCTGTGCTTGTTTTGGTTCAAATTCAAGTCCATTCTTCTTGAGCAAGATAAATTTTAAATAAATATGCAGAATTTATACAATGTAAATTTGATTTCATGTTCTAAGATTATGTCAGGTACATCATGAGATACGTCACGTGCAATATTTTCTTAAAGAGATCAAATTTGAAATAGGTGAACGTGGTAAAAGTTGATCATAAAAATGACTTTTTATTTTAACTGCATGATATATAACTTCATATGTTTTTAAGGAAGTTTAAGTATTCTCTAAGAATTTGGTCAGTATAATTGACATTTTATGCCAATAATTTTACTTTTAAACAAGAGACAAATCAGTTTTGTAGGACAGCATGACATAAAATTGATTTTTTTCATTCCTTAAATAGCATCTTATCTCAGTGAATTTTTCTTTCAGATACAAAAGGCATTTATCACATAGACACAGACTAAAAATGGCTCTACCATCCATGCCGCACTATTGGACAACCAGAAGAAATGTTTATGAGCAGGCAATTGTTAGACATAGAAACCATGACGACCACTTACGAGAAAGATGGAGTAACACAGCAAATTACTTCCAGAGATCAAACATAGCAGCCACTAAACAGAGTGCATGGGAGTCAGAGAAATCTCTTAAGTCCAGGTACATGTATAGGTCTTGGCCCATTTATCTCAGACCAGCAGCCTACTGTGAAATCAACAATTTTTATGGGGGTTTAATTTTTGTTGTATTTGAGGTATGAAGAAACCAACAAATTCATGTCCACCACAAAATGTAAAATATCATATATATATAACTACTCAACAATTCTTCATCCATGAAATAAAATCCCCACTAACTCATAGTTTTTCCTCAAACCATAAAAAATTTGACATCACGAAAATATGTGATTTTACAGTATTGTGTTTTGTGAAACAGTCAATTATAAATTATATTTTTCAGCATGGATGCTTATCAGAAAGAAAAGGACTCAGATAAAAAGGCAAAGAAATTAGCCCTACGCAGAGAGAAGTTGTCTGCCATGCTAAGACAAGAGAGATACAAGTTCGAGGTAAGTAATTATCTATAATTAGCACAAAACCTGAATGTGCCAATGGCACCACTTTTACCAAAGATTTTAAATTATGCATTGAACTTCTCTGTAATTAATGATAAAAGTAATGAATTATGTCACTGTATAATGGTAACTGATTTTGTCAAATGAAATTATTTCATATAATTAGGAAATAAAGACTGAAGGAATGAACAGAGTAAAACCATTTTCTCCTGTGCTCTGCCTTGTACATGTTATAAGCATTTATTTTTTGTCAGGCTGAATTAAAGGGATATTCCTTGGACAATTATGATCGGTTGGAAGACATGAAAGACCGAGTTGACTCTCTAAAGAGTGCTCGGGAAGAAAAAAGGAAACATGTAAGACAGCTCTGATTGAATTAAGATGAACATTATATATAACTAAGCATAAAGGTTATATATTATACATTATATATGTAATGAGTATCTAAGATGAACATTATATATTGCTGAGTATAAAGGTTATATATTATAATACATTATATATGTACTGAGTATATAAGTTTTCATGCACTGTATATATAAAATACTGTAATAAGAAAATGGTAAAGAGGTCAGTCATTTATCTATTTTTACTGTGAACAGGTAAATATTTGTATGGGATTAATTTACACAAAGTACACAAGTATATATAATTTCCACAAGTACTTCCCTTCTACATACAGTGTCTTTTAATAGATACTTGGAATGTATTTTTTTTCAAACATTTTAAGAACATCATGTATGATTCACAGAAATAATCATTACACATACAGTTTATGTTGCTAATTCCTGTAATTCACAAAATACACAAATATCCACAGGTATAAAAAAATTGAATGTAACTAATAAAGGCTTTATACTTGATGTTTTTCACAGTTGGC